CAACTCTGAGTTTCATGCCTCTTGCGAAGCAATCATCAGGCAACTGCTTCGCAAGAGGCATGAAACTCAGAGTTGCAGTAAAAGTTCAAGTAGCCTAGATCTTGAAGTATAATTATCCACAGCTCTAGCCCTGCTGTCGAGCACTTTTTGGTAGATGATGATCTCATTCTGCTATTTTGGTTATATATATATATATAAAGGAATAAACGTAGTACAGTGCTGATGCTAGGATGGGGGAGAACCGATATGGTTACCCCGAACGATCCCACATTTGTTGTATCGTCTAAGCCATGCCAGAGTGCTCAAACTAGGAAAGCCTAGTGAGCTATGCGCAATGCTAGTGGTAATGACTCACCCCACAGTACTCAATTTGGACATGAAAATAGAGCTTTGTATGCCAAAGAGCTATATCTATAATTATGTATAGCTATATGTATATCTATATGTATATCTATATCTATATGTTTTCTCTCAGTTTGAAGAATGTATTTTTTAGATATTCATGATAACAATTTTTGTAAATTGTTAGAATTTCTGGCCTGGAAAAGGATAGAAACACTCCACTTTACAGTAGACGCAGTGAGTTTCGCAAAGACTACTGTGAACTTGAAGAACTGGATTTGAAAGAGACAAATGAAAGAAAATCAGAGAGTAAGTATACACTATAACTTGTAACCTTCTCAATTTTTTCAGCTTTTAAGGTAGAAATTCCTTAACTAAACCCGTCCCCTTCCATTTGGAAAGCAATCTAACTCAATTTCACCGTAGTTCAAGACACTTTCATAGAATGAAAATCCTTTAACTTTTATCCCTTTGTTTAAGATTAAATCATAATAAATATAAAGAGAGAGTTATTTCGTACCTTTAATAACGAACTCAACCAATCACCAGTTATAGTGAGACTGAGTATAGTTGATATCAGTTCCACTATGATAATGTAAACAGTCCATCACTAAATGGATTCATTATCAGGAAATGAAATAAAATGAAATAGAATATTAGGTGTTTTAGAAGAAAGATAAGGTCAATTGGAGCAGACTTCAGTGGCAGGATTTTACTGAAAATTTCCAAATTTCACAGCAATAAATTACAGGTACTTGTTTTTCTTCTCAATGTCATGCAATTAAGCTAAGAAAGGCTAGAGAGAAATTTGAGAACATTTACATGTAGGGTGCAATAAATCTGTGGATTTTTATTTATGGTAATGTTCTTTTACTTCCATACTTACATTGGTACTGTATATAGTTTCCTCTCATTCAAAACAACCCTATTGATATTAATGGCACTGGACTTTTCTTGAATGCTATCATTATTTTAACAGAAACTAAACTGAAGCAGCAGTTGGGTAAAATCAGGGCAAATGTAAACAAGTTCCAGAGAGATTTGCAAGATGTAAAACCATCTCCAGAGTTTGTTGAAAAACTCAAAGAGATAATGGAGGAAATTGAAAATTCTATGATGACATTTAAAGAACAGCAGAGAAAAATGTAATGTATGCTTTTTAATTAACTGATGTAATTTATGATAGTAACAGTTGTACTAACAATAGTTAGAATATCAAGGTTTACACAGAGGGTGGTATTTTAAAAAAAGGGTATATACTTAAGTTTGAAACTTCTGGGAAATTGAAGATTTACACTTGACTCCAAGATTTTTATCAGAGCTGATTACAAGCAACAGCAAATGCAAGGTTCTATTTAGTTTCGGTTTCAACCAGATTAACTTCATGGCTTTAGAAAAGGTCATACAATTAATTGTAGTTCGTTGTCTTCTTTCAAAATCTTGTCATACAGTCCTAATTGATTTTGTCATTCTTGGCAGCTATGATGAGCTGTTGCATGAAGAGCGAACAAGTCTTCAAGAAGTAGCAGCAATGGAGAAAAAGTTTGATTCTTGGTCACAGTTACCTGCTCCTGCAACAGCTGCTGTTGATGTGAAGAAAGCAGCTGGGGCTGTTACAGTTTCATTGCCACCTGCAGTTGCGGCATTTGAGGTACTTTGATGTGACCTGTAGGAATCATGATATGCATTGAGCTTCTTTGAACCATGCAGTGGGTGTTGATGTATTGTTGTCAGGAATTGTCTCTTTGTATTTTGTTTTTACTTAACTCAAAATTAATGTAAATTAATTAACACTGGCCTGACGTTGCAGAGATTCTTGGCACAAACTGGTGGACACAGTGGAGGCTGGGATGACTATGATCATCAGCTCTTCTTAAAGCTTAAGAGCAAACATAAGGTAGAAAAATAACATTTTGCATTTCATTGCCATTGATTTTAAAAAGGTCAAAATATTTTCCTCCTAATGAAGATTTATTGGTTTTTCGTGCAGTCACTTCTAGGGTAGATTCCAAGAACTGCTTGTCTCTAGGCTTTTCAATCTGTTTCATATCAGCTCATAAAGAATTACGTTCTGTTGTGATTGGCTGGTTTTTTGTTTGCCACAAAGAAACAATTTGGCTTGACTCTGCTGTTGTGGGAATCCATGCTTAATATGCAATTTTTTATGTTACTGTGGTGAAGCCTAATGTTGATAATCCCTTTTTCCCGGTTTGCATGTGTTCACCATGATGAATAACCACTACCTTTTCCTGCCATCAAATACTATGGGACTATCTATAGAACCATGAAGTGTTCATGAGAGCTGCTGGATCTGGGATTCCTGGAAGAAGTGTCGATGATGTGCGACAGCATGATGAATGGTACAGTGAATACTTGATACTCAAAGAAAGTAAAAAGAAAGCCATCCAAGAATGGAAATACAACAAAGAGGTATACCGGTATATCATTAACACTTGTTCCATTCAGTAACATGGGACCCTATTCCTCACTTTTATAGTCAGTGTTTTAGAGACCTGCCTGAATCTTTGGTTGAGTTGGTTATAACAAACCAGTTTTCAAAGAGATATATAGTGCCTAGCCAACTGCAGCTATCGCTTAGTACAGTGGTGGCTGATACATTGAGAGTTTGTTGACCAACAGAGGGGTCATCTGTCAAATGAATGAAGTTTTTATGAATAAGTTGGCTGACACATTTGGGTCACAAATTGGTCGGGTTACATTTGTTATGATTCCCCCACAAATATGTATAGTGAACAGAAATGTCAAACACTTTTGTTCTTCTGTCAAGAGTTCTTGTCTGAATGTAATTGAAATTGACTCACCTTACCTAATGATACATTTTCTGGCTGAGAGAGGATGAGGATGAACAGAATTTTTAGTTGCAGGGTGTTTAGTTTATATGCATTAAATCCTCCTCTATGGAAATATATAGTATCTAAAGGGAAGAATAACTAGATAATCAGATAGCAAGCCATGAGGTTTTATTGGTGTTATACACTGCCTGATGTTTTCGGCTGTTTCTGCTTGATAGATAGTTTTGGATTCTGTCATCAAATGTAGGTTACAAAACTATTAAATACTCATTTGTTTTGTTGTTGTTGTTTTTTTTGCGACAAACTGTTTTTGGTTTTCAAAAGGCAAAGAAAGATGACTTGTTAAAAGATGAAGAAGATGAATTGGAGGAGGAAGAGAGAATAAAGAGAAGAAAAGAAGAACAAATAGAAAAAGAGAGGGAGGAAAGGATCAAGCATCTAAATGAATGGAAGGTAACTCTCTTGGAGGAGGGAAAACTTGTGAAAAATTTAAGATTTTATGCAAAATAATGGACATTAATATCTTGGACAGGACTCAACACTAGTGGTAGCCAACTAACCACCAACTAGTAGAAATTCAGTTTGGTTTTCAATTTCCACACGCCAGTTTGGGTAGTAAACAAACTGAAATTGTTGTAACATCTTAGTTGTCACTAGCCACTTGGCTAATAAGTTGAAAAGTTAGTGTCGAGCTCTGTTGGAACTAGTTAAATTGGAGATTTTCCTTCTAAGCAGATTTAAATATATAGATGTGAGATAGTTAAACGAATTTTAAGCATGGCCAGCTTCAGACAGGAACCAGTTGTGTGATATGGAGTAATAAACACTCTTTTTATTCTGCTGTTCACGCCACACTCTCAGATGAAAAGGGATGTTTCAATCCCAGCATGAGTATTGCAGTGAAGTCGGATTACCCACTTGTGTAATTGTTAGGTATCATTTAAGTTATTGACTCAGAGAACTAAAAAAGAAAGTTTCTTTCCAGGGAATAGATTTAGTGTGATAACAAATGTGACCAGAAACACTTCTTCACAGATTCTAGTAAATGTTAACATGGCTAAAGCCTTTTCACCTTAATATTGGTATCAGTTTTCTTCTCAGTGTTCTCTTCACATTTCATCCAGTCCGACAAGGAGAATTTGTTTGACAATCAGGAGCTTCCTAAGTTGGAGATCAAATCCCTTATCTCCATGACCTCTACATTTGATTCAAGGGTGATATTACAACGAGAAGTTAGAAGCCAGTCACTTTTTCAAGGTTTAAAATGATGTGTTGCTGTGGAATTATGTTTGGACTGCATTTCATAGTAACAGGTCTCAGGATGACGGTGAATTGATTTTTTTTTGTTTGTTTTTTTTGTGACGTTTTGGGTTTTGGCGACATTCCTCTCAGGTGCAGAAAGAATTAGAAAAAGCAAAGAGTGAGGAAGCACGGCTCAGATTAGAAATGAGCAAGGCGAGAGAGAAGGAGAGAGAGGAGAAGAAAAGGGTAAGCTGGTTCACAACCCCAAACACTGCCAAGCACTGGGATGGAAGTCGTAACTACACGATGTGCTTAAATACCGTAAATCCTTGAATTAGCGGTTCACCACGAATAAGCGCCCCTTCAAGATAAGCGCCCCTCCTATCGTTCAAAATTTGAAATTAGTACCCCCTTCGATTGATTGCCCGTAAGGAAAGAGCGCTCTACCCCGTCTTAAAATGAATTTGGATTGATTTATGATAATTCAACACAAAGTATAATCCACCCTCCACCTAGTGATGTAAATGGTATGAGTAAACTGCTAGGGAAACTCGACGTAGTACTTCGGAGTTACCTGTACCTCAGATGGATTAGTATCCTGTTTGGGAAGGCGAGGCTAGCTACGCTCGTGATCCCGTTTACAATAATTACAACCGTAAAAGACAACAAATAATGGGACTCATGATACCTTAGAGAGTTGGAACTAATTAATGAAAAACGAACGAGGTTGTTGAACCATGAACAAGATTAATCCGAATTAGAAATGATCAACTGTTGTTTGAGACCGCACCACCCGCATTGTATCTCCCTCAACTTGTTTTTTCTTTGTTTCCCTTTTTTTATCCCTCTAGCTGGAGATTAAAGCACAGGTGGAAGAGTATGCAAGACAGAGAGCAGAGGAACAAGCTATTTTAAAAGCAGCACGACACGCGAGAGTTCACCAAGAAAAAGAGGCAAATAAGATAACTGCGGAAGAGGCAGCGAAAATACAAGAAAGGGTGAGTGGGATTTGAGAGCGAAAAGTGATGCGGCTGGCCAAGGTAGGTGTATCTTACACATAACGGGGAGAGAGCACGTTGCGTGACACTAAGCAACGGCTGCGAACGAGTTTGGGTAGATGCACACCATTATTTATGCGGAATCTTTTTCATGTATTGCTTCAGAGCCAAAAGATGTTAGATGAACGACAAGCCAAGATGAAAGTGAAGGAAGTTCAGAAACAAGAAAAAGAAAAAAGACTCCAGAAACTAAAAAGTCAGGTAACAGATTGTTGAATAAGCTAGGGAAACAACAAAAAAGACAACCTTTTTTTTTCTCTCTCTTTCTTTTTTATTTAAAAGAGGATAAAGCCTTCCTGTTTTGTAGATCAGACTAAATTTCAAAACGCCATTTCTCCATCACGGAACCTTTGTTTTAGTTTGTTTTTTTTCCTTTGACTCAGGTCGAACTAAATGTATCACGTGACCCATCTCGACTGTACAAACTCACTGCTGGATGGGAACAGAGAAAAAAAGAAGGGCCTGGGACGGCTGGACATGGGCCTAGTCTTCATATGCCACACAGGTATGCAAATCTTTTCTTCTCGGACGATTTGACCTCCTTGCAGAAGAGCATTTTTCTCAATTGCTTATCGAAATGAACCCGGGAATTTATTGAATTTGTTTTTCTACGCATCCTGACTGGCCGAGCCATTATCATCCCTCAACTAATGAGGGGGAAAAACTAACGCGAATCATGAACTTGGTCTCTTGCGTTTGTCGCACTTTAGGCCGTCCACCTGTATTTGCTTTAGGGTCTGTGGCCTTCTGTGGTTTTCTCTTTTTTCTGATCGGCCGTCGTAATAACTTGAGTTATAAGCTTGATGGTATCCACAAGACTTAGACGAGTGATGGTTGAAGAAAAAGAAGAAAAAGAGATTAGTGTAATCAGTCTTTACAAAGTTCTTTAAATGAAACGAATACTGTTTAATTTCAGGGCAGTCCCGTCATGGCGGCAGGGATTATCATGACAGCTACTCTACAGAACACTCGTCGATTTTCTGAAGCCCATGGACTGTTACGTACTTCCGCAATTTTGATCCTTGTTCAACATGTATTACACCTACTAGCCTGTCCTCTTTAAACCGCAAATTTGCAATAGCTTTATTATCTGTGGAGTGTGATCCATTCTCACGTCGGGTAAGCTTAAATTTGGTAAAGCGTGGTTAAGAGAAAGCCAGCAGAACCACCATGGTCTATTACCGAGGCGCGCAGGCGCGGAGGTAAGCGTGAGACAAGAGATACACGCGAGAGGAGATAGCTTATTTTGTTCGCGCTCCTCTTGTCACGTGTCTCGCACCTCACGCTTCCACGCGCTTCCACGCGCTCGCCTGATGTTGATAGCTTCTACAGTCTATCAACATGTAGACATTAATCGTCTCAAAATCATGTCAATTGCTTTAAAAAGGGCTCTGTTACTTCACTTGCACCTCGCAAGAAGCTACATAAAGATAAAGATCTTCTGAAGACCCTGAATCTTCTAAGGCAGGGAGGACACAGAGATAGAGTACAGTTTTAAACGAAATTGTGAATAAAATATTTATTTAAATGTTAAGGGGGTATTCTATGCTCTAGAGAAATATTCATTTCTCCATCTAATTTCCTTTCAACAACGGCCAATTCATCTTATCACCGACTGAATAGCGGTGCATCCGGCGTAATTATTAATCCCATTGATCAACCATCACAGTTAAAAATGGTAACGCTCGTACTAGCGAGAACGTGGATGTTTCTCTCCTACTCGAAATATTAAAAAAGAAAAACGGAGTAGAAATATCCCTTACCACAATCAACTATGGGTGATGACTGGAGGTGCAGTGAAGATTGTCATGAAGACAAAAAATGTTCGCTATAAAAAAAAAATTGTCCAAGACGTGGAAACACCCATCACAGATTGGCTGAGTGCTTCTCTTGTTTTCTTCGCATCGATGTATTGGATGATCTTTTTACTACTTGTGTAAAAGCTGTTTTGAAAATGCTGTTTTCAATGTTAAATTCACTATTTGAAAATATTTCCCAAATTCGGTCGTTATTTGAAAAACCAGTTTCAAAACCTTTGATTAAGCACCAAAACCTCCTCGTGTACTCGAAAGGGTAACTATTTCGTAAAATAATTTCCATGTTTCTTAAAATGTTAGTTCTGTGAACATTGAAAACAAAGATGAAACGAAAACTTCTGAATGCAGAGTTTATTTTGCAATCACTTGCAAATGTTCACTACTACCTTCAAAATATAGAAGTGCAAGTCTCCCAATTTTGTACGTAACGTTGAATTCATCATCAATCCTTTTCATGCCTCGTGGCACATAGGGCCTTAACGTTGAATTAGACGGGATAAAATTTAAAAGAAATCTGATAAAAATTGGTAGTAGTTGTTAACTATTGCAAAAAAAATTGTTACAGGTTTCAATAAATTATTTTCAGACTATTCACACACCACTTTTTTTCTTATACTTAACATCACTATATTGTTACATAGTTATTTGAAGGGTTCTTCGTCAAAATAAATTGTGCTTCTTACAAATTTTAAAGTAAACTAAAACTGTTTAAGTATTTCATTTCTTCTTTGGACTGAAAGTAGACATTTACGTTTACCTAAATTACGCCCAATTTGTCTTCCAATGTGTCATTTGCTCACAATTTCCCTACTTTTCCAACAGTTAAGGAGTTTATTAAAAATATAACAGTCAATAACACGGAGCAACAGCATTTATCTCTTAGGCCATTCACTAATCTCGTAGCCAGACCATTCACGGCCAAGCGGTGGCCGGCCGGCCCCCACATTTCAGTTACATGATATGATCTGGGTACGACATTAGCCATTCCCAAGAGTTTTTTTTTTTTTCTAAATTTCTTGCCATGCTTCAGCTACTTTAGAACTAAGGTGACTTTGACATTGAATGTGGTAGATGTGTATGAGTTAATTACCATCATTTATGAATTGTGACGCATTTATGAATTATGACGCACATTTATGAATTGTTCCGTACCAAATGAATAAGATTATTGTTTTTGTCACGATTACTGCCGTCTGAGACTACGTAAACTTAGGGACGGGTGACTAAAAAATCACATGCGATTAAATAGCTTCCAAATTTCGTTACCATAGTTACACCAGAATGCTGAAAATTACGACTACTTGAGAAAAAGCTATTTTATCAATACTTTTTTTCTTTAGATCTTTTCGATATAGTTACTGGGAAATAGTCCCTCGCGGCCATTCAGTTTTCCTGTCCACCATCCTGAGGGATCTGGGAATGAAACACACAGATGATAACGTTAGAACCTGGGGACAAGTGGGACCAGCAATAAGTTCTGACCATGATTAGTTATAAGCCTCCAAAACTCACGCTAAATGCAAGGCAGAAAAACTGGGTACGGTATACGAATTCGAGGCTGCCTGATGAACTTTAAGGGAGAAAACTTTTGTCGACGATCTTATGCTGCGACAGCCTGAGTATTTTTTCATCTGATGTCATTATGAACTTCTCTAAAACCGAAAAGAACGAGTCAAATCATGAAAGAGAACCTTCATTACGTTCCTCTTTCACTTGGAAAGATTAGCAGGAAGCCTTGATGCCTGTTTTTCTAGCTCACGTTACAACATATCGAAATAAGGTTATTGATCACCAGCACACACTGCCAACTTGTTTCCAGGCCCTCTGAAAAAGTACTGCTCTGCTCGTCTTTTCTGAGAAGTGTTCACCCACACCATGTCGCAAACCACAGGGAATGCGCTTAATATACCGGGAACCTTGTTACGCAAGACTTTTAATTGCTTCCTGGGTAACTTTACCTTCTTTAATAATTTCGATAATTTCGTTCGGTTGAAAGCTCAATTCATCAACGTCGGTGGCGTCGTAAGGCCACAGTGTCTTGCACCGGGGTAGGGACGGGGCCGGTTTTGGCTTCGGCCTGGGTTTTCCTGGAGCTGGAGGACGTTTTGACATGGACTTTTTCTTGGAGTTAATCCTTTCAATACTAAAACAAACAGGATCAGATTACCTAGCCGTCCTTTGTAATCAGTTAATAATAAACCAGATACAGAAATCTTATAGCAACAGTTAAATGTGAGGGAAGCTCTCATGTAAACACTTGAGAAATATAACTCTAGTAAATAACCAATCAAAAATTGTCCCTGGCACGAACGACTACGCCAACTATGGTAATATAGGGTGTATAAATGATCCATAGTCAAAGAAAATCGCGAAGGGCTCAACCAGGTTTGCTAATTCAACTGTCTCTATATCACACAGCACTTCTCGATTACGTGTCATAAAATCGAAACCAAAGCAATCACAACAGCCATTCATAGCTAGGGAAATCTCACGGCAAGCCAGTGAGAACTCAAAGTAAAAACAAGTAAACTGTCTAAAACGCGGGAATCACGGGTGACGCGATCGATTTTAGTCTTGAATCTGATTGGTCGAAAAGTGGCGCGAGTTTTCTGGACCAATCACAAAGCGAAGTAAGCAAACCCAAAGCAATCCCGGATAACTTTCGACCCTCAATTGAAAATTGTTCTAACAGATTGACGCGGGATGTCTAAAACATCTACAAAACCGCGAAAAAAAGGAGGAGGGGAGAAGCTGCGTGCTGAGCTAGAAAAAGGGAGATACTTTTGGAGTATTCGCGAATGGTAACATTAATTTGGGCGCTGGCCATATAACATCTGAAGAGAAGATAGGTGCGTGGGTGTTTTTCATAAAAACTGAATCAAATCCTGCTTGAGTATTTGTACTATCCTTATTGGTAGACAAGGCAACATGACAACTTATTCATTAAAAACTGTTCGCATCACATAATCCATCACGAAAGGTTTTTGAACGAGAAAATCCTCTTGAACAATGAATAAAATTTCCATTATTTTCCCAGCCGCACGAGCGAGGAAAATCAATAAATAAAAGGTTATCGATGAAAACGTTGTAATTGTGAAAAGTGGTGTAAAGGCAAGACGCACAGAACATATTCAAAAGACTTTCCAGAGTTCAAAAGTTCTAATGGTTACTTATAAGGTTACTGCTGTTAGTGTTACCTATTGCCCGTTTCTTTTCTTTTGCAGTCAGCAGACAGACTGGAGACAGAAACATACTACACTTATTTCACAAGCATTAAAACCTTACCAGCCATCTTAAGTTAGTTATTAATCATTATAATTTTATGCATAATAAACATCTTATATTTCTGTTTAAGGTTAAGCTCGTTACTTATATTAAGGCTTACAAGTCTATGCGACACAACACACATTTGCCGACAAACAGTTAGCAATTTAGCACAAAGAACAAAACAAAAACCTTAGCTACTTTCACAAGCAGAAATTTTACGAAAAGCATTTAACGTCTACGTTGAAAAAAAAAACAACTTTTGAGCGAACCATTGTTTCAACCAGTTTTCAGCGGCAAAAACTACGTATTATCAACAATCCACGAAGTAGTATCGAATATTTTTAGTTTCTTTAGCCTCGGAATCGATTTCAACCTTTAATACTACGAAATTTCCGGGCGATTTTGGATAAATCAAAAAATTGTCATGAAAGGATAGAGGTTAGCAGATTACTTACAGAAAAGTTAAGCATATCTTATATTTTTGCTTATATCGGAAATTATCATTTCTTTGTTAGGGTCTACTAGGATACGCAAGGTTCGGGTTTATGTTTTAGCCTTCATTTTGTTGGAAAGTTCTGAATAACATCTTACTTGAGGTCTTCATTGGTGCACGAAGTTGTTAAAAACGAGTGGAATAAGACCTGTTTAATCCCCTAACCTCCTCACGAGGGAAACGTGTTGCGTTTCAAAGGTACACAACAGCTGACAAGGATAAGATTTCCTTCACGTTGCATGAGACAGTTTGGGATTATTTTTAGATTTCAATCGCATTATCAAAGTCAAAAGTTGTTAATCAAAAAAAGATAGAAAGAAAGTTTATGGGTGTGTTTTTTTGTGATGATACGGATCAAGATTTTTATGATATCATTAACAATTATTCCACGAGCGCGCGTTGGATATGAGATGATAGATAGCCAACAAAGCGCGTAGCGCCGAGTTGGCCATAATCATCTCATATCCAACAAGCGCGAGTGGAATAATTGTTTTATTAAAAACGTTGAATTAGATTATTAAATTTTATTAAATTTATAGCTCCCTTTTAATTTTAAGCTGACACATACGCTTACCATATTTGTAGATTATGGTATATTGGCTGATATACCATAATGGCTAAGCCAATAAAAAGTCTTGAATTGCATTATCCAATGATCTAGTTTTTTAATAACATCAGATAGACCATAAAGCATCAAAAGAAATGTGAGAATCTTTTAGAATCAGAATCAGAATCTGAGACTTCGCAATCCGGGAATGTTCTGGTCTTTTGTTTTCCCACGCCCCGTCACAGGTCGAAAAACACTGCAGTATTCTCTAAGCCAATCTGATTTAAAACAATTACTGTAGCGTTTTCCCGCATCTGTATCTATACTTTTTGACCGTCGGAAGAGCTTTTGTTTTAGTTTTACGACACTCAGTCGAAAACACCTCTATGTACCAAGCCCCGAGTAATCTCTCTTCAAAATCTTGATCCTAGTCCAATTTTATTCTCAAAAGCACCCTGACACTGGTCAGTCGATCAATGTTAGAGATTTTTTATGGTTTAATAATCAGATTCTTCATTTGCTTACAATCAAGGTTTGAGAAGAGTTTAGAGGTGTGTTAGCTCACCTATCATCTTGGTTAGTTGAACTGTTAGACCCATTTTGACCATCATCCCACGTCTTCAGATTGACATAATCATTGAGCTGATCATCATCGGTGTCATCAAAGTCGCTGTCAGTACTATCATAACCATCATAGCCATTTTGGTGTGGAGTCTCACTGTGGCCATTGGGGCTGCCTTCTTGACTGTGATGTGTGGCAATGTAGGAACCATTCTGATGGGTAGATGTCACACTGTACGATGTGCCATTGGGTTGAGACGGAGCAGTGCTGTAGGACATACAGTGCTGCTGAATTTCTGCGGAAATGGAGGGTTGTTTATTCTGTTGAGTTGTGGTCGCACTGTAGGGAAGACCATTCTGAGGAAATCCTGCACGGCTGTGAGGGATTCCATTCTGATCATTCTGAGCTGCACTGTACGGGTTACTGTTCTGGGAACTGGCACCAGTGGTGTAAGGAATATTATCGCATTGGCAGGTAGGTGCATTGTACGGCATCCCATTCTGTTGGTTAGTGGCAGTCCCGTACGGAATTCCATTCTGTTGGGTGATTGCAGCTCTGTATGGAATTCCATTCTGTTGACTAGTAGCAGCTCCATACGCTATTCCATTCTGTTGGCTGGTTGCAGCCCTGTATGGAATTCCATTCTGTTGGCTAGTGGCAGCTCCATACGGCATCCCATTCTGTTGGCTGGTTACAGCCCCGTATGGAATTCCATTCTGTTGGCTAGTGGTTGCTCCATACGGCATTCCGTTCTGCTGGCTGGTTGCAGCCCCGTATGGAATTCCATTCTGTTGGCTAGTGGTTGCTCCATACGGCATTCCGTTCTGCTGGCTGGTTGCAGCCCCGTATGGAATTCCATTCTGTTGGCTAGTGGTAGCTCCATACGGCATTCCGTTCTGCTGGCTGGTTGCAGCTCCGTAGGGAGCTCCATTTTGTTGGTTCGTTCCAGTACTGTACGGCAGTTCAGCCTGATGGCCTGTGCCACCTGTGTGCGGCATCCCATTCTGGTGGTTTATGGTACCTCCATTATGTTGAGTTGTGACAGCATCGTGCGGCAAGTCATGCTGCCGAGCATCTGCAATACTGTAGGGTATTCCGTTCGTATTGTACTGTGTGCCTCCTTTCTTTCGCTTTCCTGTGGTACTGTATTGTGTTCCACTCTGCTGGGTACCTGCTCCATTCTGCGGAGCAGCAGAGTTATAGTGCAAAGGTGCCATTTCCTCATAGCCCTCATGGACAGCACCACGCCGGGCTTGTCCTGCTCTATACGCTGTTCTCTGCTGCTGCACAACGTTCTGAGCTCTATAGTTGACTCCATCTGGAACACGCTGATGTGATCTCGCTGCACACCCTGGATACTCTGAGGCTGGAACATAGGCATGCTGCCTATTTTGCCCGTTGGCTTGAGTGCAACTCACTGGACTCATATGTTCGTATCCGTTCTGCTGCGCCCTGGTCTGCTGGCGCCTTGTGCTTGTGTACTCAGCACCATGGGAGGCACTCCTAGCTCTGTAATCTGCTCCATACCCTGTCCCCTGGGGTTTGACACTCCCCGAGTGGAATGATATGTCCGATCGGGGCGAGCTCTGTCGAGGGGCTTGGTTCATATGATACCCTGCCCGACTGTACCCACCTTGGTCCGATTGTCTGATGGCATCTTGAGCAGCTTCAGCCCACTGCATTCTCTGTTGACTGTTTTTTGTACTGCAAGTGTTCTCATTCTGCGAGGCAAGGGTCGCAGAGCGTGGGCGCTGGACAGTTTTGTACCCATTTTGTCTTGCAGTTTCTCTCGCGTAAGGATCACGCTGTGTTTCCCCTTCCCGGAGCGACCTTGAATCTGAACCTTCATTAGCCGCAGAACTATACATCCTTTCCCTCTGAGAAGTAATGTTGGCTGAACGCGGTCGTTGTATCGTTTTGTACCCGGCTTGCCGTCTTGCAGCATCCACATGATCGTCTTCAAAGCTGACCCTCCGCTTTCCGTCATCAGACCTGCGTCTTAGCGTTGCTGGATTGAACTGTTCGTTCTGTCCGTTGAGAGGGTGCCCCGTTCTCCGGTAATGTCCATAGACGGCAGGATCCAGCTGCTCACGAATTCTTCCAGAGCGTTGCGAACCATCGCCGAACTGGACAGATGCAGCGTTATTCATGTGGTGAGGGTACCCTACAGCCCCGTGTCGTCCTGTGGTCGGTGCTGGATAAGTCTCATATGCGCGAGTTCCTCTTCTTATAGTCGATGCAGGAGGAGGTGGGTTCATGCGATTAAATCTGTTTATGGTTTAAAGGTCGTGAATTCAATGAAGTTATCCTGCAGAGTTAGTTATTTCATGTAATCACAGTTACCTAACTGCTTCTATCTCAATGCAGCGTAAGATGTTAGCAAGGCTTTTCACTGTGTTGTGTTGGATAAATTTAAAAATGATTCATTCTTAATTTCATTTAGATAAGAACGTTTTTGACACGTTTGAGTCCCTAAAAATCGAAAGTTAATTTTTTCACTTTAATTGTTTTATTGTAAAAAAAATTTAGTTTCGCTAATCAAAGGGTCTTAGCACGTATGAGTGAAGAATGAAAATAAACAAATCTTCGTTTGAATTTTGAATTTCTTTGGTCAATTTATCACCAACACACACAAAGATAACAGACAAAAGCACAGCACACTAACTACAGAGAGCACACAACATAAAACAGTGAACCACCGGAATTCTTCTTCAGTAGAATATGAAGAATTTCACGGCTTCCTGCTGTTGAGAATCCCCCACTCCAATAATTCCACGCGAAAACTCTGATCGCCATGCAAAACTACTCTACGCATAAACGGTATTTCCCGCCCATCCCCATTGTTCCCCTTACCACCCCCCTACCCGACTTCAGATTAACTTTCACAACCCCACTACCAGTTTTGAAACAGAAATAAAATCCACTTTGCAGAACGCTTTTCGATCCAGTGTCTTCAAAGTAAAACCAACATAATCATTCGCAACGGCCAGCCAAAAAAAAGCATGGTAGATAGCACTTACAGCCAGTGAGGACCCAGAGTGGGTAAACGGCAAGTAAATGGCTTGAAGTGCGGGAAAACACAGTTGAAGATGTCGCGAATGTTAAAGATATGCATCTGATTGGCTGGGAGGGTGGCTTTAGCTTTGAGAACCAATCTCAGAAAGCAAGACATTTACAAGACTCAGACGAAAAACGTTCTACAATATATTAAAAGCATGAATTATTTTGCTTGTCTCATACTTCTTATAATCTAGAAATGACTTTGAATTCCCAAACGATGTTACATGCAAAAACTGGTCGAAAGTAAAAGTTAAAACTGTTGTCCCTGGAGGTGCAACTGGTCCCGGATACAAATATTATTGACTTTCTAACATTGACTATCACTCCTGGATTGACTTTGCGAGTCAATCAAATCGTCCACTCGTACTGTGCAAAAAATGAGCCACGTAAGTTACTGTATCCTATTTCGTGTAATACGAAGTTACATGGCACTGTTTCCCGGAAGTTACATTCAAAAGTTACTTCGACAAAAAATTCCATGTAACATCATCTTTATGACCCGCTCTGTTTGAAAGCGTAAATTTATACTTAAACAAATACAACTTTGCTCTATTCTCACACTGGCTTTACTTGAGATCACTGCATCGTCTCGTCAAGCCTTCAAGAGCGCGATAATTGCCAAGAAGGAAAATTGAGAACAAGTCTTTCTCACTCGATCCATTCCCCCTGAGCTTACTTTGCACATTATTAAATCCGGCTGCCAGTCAGCACGTCAGCCATGATCGGACAAATTCCCCCCTCTATTTGAACTCTGAGATATAAGAGAGATTTAACGCGGCGTTTACGTGAAACGGCAAACGTCAGCTCGCCCTTTCACGTTTCACGTTTCACGTAAAATAGCGAGAACCTTGCTGCTTTAGCTTTGCGTGAACTTACGTTATGGTGGATTTGAAGGCGCCCTTGTATGATTTACAAGGAAAAGTTGTATGACTTACAAGGAAAAGTTGTGATGCCCTTTCTCCGGCAATTAACTTCTACTCCATGAGAGAAAAAGTGAAAAAAATTTACGTACACGGGAAACGCGAAACAGGTTACTTTCACGTAGAAACGGCAAAGCACAACCGGCAAGCGTGAAAAAAAAAAGCGGGAAAAACAAGGTCACGTGGTCACCCTTACCGTTCACGTTTAACGTAAACGCGGTACTAAGTCTCTCACTAACATCGTTTCCTCCGTCCGTACTGCAAGTTAGGGAACCTCGCTTTTTCTGCTCTGATTTGGCCAGTGCGTTTCGCACTTGGGCCTTAAATCCGAGTGGAAAAACAATTCGGTCCGTTTACTTGCAGTAAGGACTGAGAACTTGGTCAGTAAGACGTGCGTACGCGGACAAAAACAATAATAAACTCACCCACAAACTCCTGACTCAGGTGTTCGCATGAATTCCTGTTGTCGAACATCAACGTTAGCCGGTCCTCGCGCTAAGTGTTGTGCACCTGATCTTGGAAGTGACGGCTGTTTGTGGGTTGCTGCATATCGTTTGATACTTGACGCTGACCTGCCACGAGATTGATTGGATGCTTGCTGTTGAGCGGGGTACGCTGGGGCTGCTCGACGTGGTTTGCTTGGGCTGGAGCTGACGTGTGCTTGGCGGCCAGGCCCTGTTGAAACAAACGATAGTTGTCGTATCTTAACATTTCTGGGAGGTAAAATGTACCCCGGAGAGCAATATTGAGATTGAATACTGGCATAAAAAGGGATATAATGCAGAAAGAAAAGAGAATGATCGCTAAAAAATGTCAAGCAATTAAACGACTGTCCTTTGACGTTCTTACAGGGCAAGGTTTAGTTAAATGTCGAGAGTAATCCGGGACTTAGAATAATTTTACTTTATTTCGCTCTGTGATTGGTCTGGAGAGGTCACGCCACCCTCTCTTCACAGTGAGTATTCACTGATCCTTGTGATAGGGTTTTTTTTTTATTCAGATTGGTCAGTTTGGTTACTTTGGTCGTTGTTGGAGGTCACTTGATTGAAATGTGCTCTAAAAAGGAGATAAAAGTCTGAAACTATCTGGAAATACTCAATACCGGGAGTTTAGAGAAGGGGGGAAATACTCTCACAAAGATGCAAGGACATTGTGAAGTCTAAGCAAAGGAAACTCTTTTGCTCTCCTCTCCCTCAAATACTTACTTGTGTCCTTCGGAAGACCTGGGCCAATGGAGACGTTGAGTGTTTTGCCACAGGGCTTCAGCACAGGGATGTCAGAACCTCCCGAGGTAAAGTTTAGGGAACGTGTTCCGCCTCCACCCCAGCCCTCCTTCTTTACTGTCACTGTGATGCTGGAATTACGAAGGACAATAGTTAAAATTGTCAATAGAAAAAAATTCTTACTGGACATCAGTTTGCTGGGACAAACTCTTAGTCCGCTATTATGCAGATAATTCGTCAGCAGTTACCGTTGTGTATCTAGACTGATATACTTTAGTACAAACGGTTACACCAAAAACTATTTTCCAACATTACAGGTTTGCCCTTTCGCTTAAATTCAATGTTAAACGCTACCTTTATCGTACCTGCTGGCAATGTCGACTCTAAGCTGACGGTTGACTGAGTCTTGATACTTTGATGAAAGAAGAGTTAAAAACTCAGTTTTGAACACAGTTTCCAGAACACTGTCATATTCCCCTGGGATGTGAAGAACTATGAAGTCATCTTGGAGTGGACTGGAAACGAAAATTGAAATATAGTGAGCAATAGCGCTCGACGGTACGCGAGTCTCCTTTGGAAGCCGTTTTTCGAGATGTCACGAAACACTACTTTTTCTTCTGGGGGGGGGGTCGTTGCGTGACATCTCAGTACACGGCTGCGAAGGACACCAACGGTACAGAAGTACGCCTTAGATCAATCATTGACTGGCGCGATTGGGAATATCTCAATTACTCTTACCTTAGTGACACAGATCCTATGCTTTTCATTTCCAGTTTCCGTTTTACAACTTCATAAACTTTACCCTTTTCGGGTCCTTTCTTCACCTGAAAGTTTCAAATTGGGGGAATGTTATTTGTCTTCGGCAACACATCGCTCATGTCTGAACTACCTTAACAGGAGTTAATAAAAAGGAATCGCTGAGATAAAACTGCAGCAACTCCCGATTTCTCTATCAATGAGGACCCTTCTGATTCCATGACACACGATATATATCAAGTCAAGTTGTCGTTGATTTCTTTTTTCATTTACCTTTTCTCTTCCAATAAGGTAAATGTGTTTGCTTGAGAGCAGAAGGTCTCGTTTCATCGCCTGTAAAGAGAAGTCAATTCAGCTTCAGTATCGTAACAACAAGTATAAACACTTTTGATAAACGCGGAAATTTACTTTTTTTTAAAAAAAAAAAAATCTATACGCTAAACTAAATCTTTAACACCTTACCTTAAATCTTCTGTCGTACTTGTTCACTGTGACAGCAAATTCGATTCTCTCCCGCTTTTCTAAAGGAAAAGATAAAATCCTTATAAAGATAACACGCATAAGAACAGAGCGCATAAAACTACAAGAAACAACACGATAAACATTTTATTTGGTTCTTATTCATGATCTGCGCTTCATGCGCCCCTTTTCATCTTCTGACCACATTTTATAGTCATGTGTGATTTATTACTGAACAGTCGCACGGCACATGAGATCTGTTTGTTAAATACATAAAATCAAAATCCAAAGAGAGTCAAACACAACTCATACCGACTAAACTCCTCAAGGCTGGATTGTCATCATAACCAATGTAATCACCCACAAAATTGCGATTGATGCTAAATCTTCGTCTCTCTTTCTTGTTGAACAGGATGTCTGATGCTGAAACAATGACATAGAGCATGTTAGATGGGCTACTATAAGCTTGACACCACGCCAAGTTCAAATGAGAGTCAAACTCTTCAAATAGAAAAAATGCGTGGGAAAGACAATGCGCAAGCCAAACCCGACCAACGCAGAGTCGCTAGGAATTCCGAGGGAGAAAATGGAAGATTAAAACCTAAAGTCTTCATATTTCATGGTATCTATACATGTGCTCGGCCTACCTTGTTGTTTGAGCTCGGCAAAGTATTTCCTTGACGTGTACATTCTGTAAGCCTTCTGGATCTTCCTGGCGTAACCGTCGAACTTTCTGTCTCTCAATTCTTCAAGCAAGAAGAGCTTTATTCAAGTAAAGAAGATCAAACAAGCATTAGAGGACTTAGCAAAATGACTTCCTACACAAATTTTCAGGAAGAATAAAGACTCAACGGTCGCAGTTAGGGGCGCCGCCCTCAGTCAAATTCGTTCGTCCATTTTCATCACAATCCGCTAGAAAAGGATTGAAATAACAAGTAACATCTCACCGACTCAGGCGCCTTGACGAACACTTTAGTTTTTCCCATCTGCCACTGGTCACGCTCCATGTTGACCGCAGTCATCAGATGCTCCACCCCTCTTCGTATGTCACCATTCCACCGCGGCCAAGTCTCCTTGGTAAGGATAGCATATCTGGTGACCAGATTAAAAAAATACAATTATCCCTGACAGCTAATTTCGTCGCTAAATCTGTAACCATCATAATCATTTCTAAATTCACAGGGTAATCAACAAAGAAGCGCTTGAGGAGGTTGAAGCTATATGCGTATTCAGGGCATCTGAAACAATGACAGGGAAGTCACTTGTCACAAATGCTTCATTTTTAAGAAGGAGCCACAGGTACGTCAAGGATTACACTAAGAAAAATTAGCCCCAAATCGTCATTCCTATCTTAAACCATCCTAGTTCCCCTTTGTGCTAATCTCTTTTTTGGTATGGTCTTTTTTCGGTAAACTTTCTTTTGAAAAGATTCCCTACAACTATCGACAATTTGAAACGAATCAAATTTCTTTTTTACGAACATGTACCTCCTCTGCCTTTTAACAGATTCTCATCAGAATCACTGTTCTTACTTCATACTCACCTCTCAAGGAACTTCTTAAAGGGTCTTCTATAGGCAAAGCCTGCTCTTCTAACCCGGATGTTCTCCTTGAGTCCCAGGTACTCCACCTGATGTCGCACACGGTCAGCCTCCCAGTCGTGAGCCTTTTTGCTCTCATTTGGCTTAATGCAGCGGATGTAATGAGGGGTACACTTCATAAGTTTATCCACCAGCAGATTGGCTTGTGTCTAAAGAAAAGTCGATGAACAGTGACGTGTTAATGCTAGAGAGGGGCACTTCACGGACAATATTAGTAACTTAAGGTTTTTGCTGGGTCCCACGCTGAAGAAAAGAAGAGAAACATCCTTCCTTATTTCTTTACCGTGCGTAAAAAATCGCCATCTTTACTTTATTTTTCTATTAACTCACACGAGGCTTCCGACGTTGCCATTCCTTGCAGTAAACAGGACGCATGTCACATAAAAAACCTTGTACTGGCCTGGCTCACCCTCCAGCCCATGTGGCTCAGGGGTCGAGCATCAGAGCGTGGGGTTCGAGTCCTTATCGGGACTATTTGTTCCACGCTCGAGACAAGACGAAAAAACATTCTTCTTCAGTAACTTAAGGGGTCTTAAATCTTTGCAACTTTGCAAACTGCAACATATGGACTCGCCCAGTGCAGCTACAGTCCTAACAAATGAATAAAGGCTGATAGTTTCGAAAGAAACTGTTTGGGGCTGCGTCGGTGGGAGTAACGAAATAATTTGGATATATCAACAAAGTTGAAATGGTAATTTGGCCACCGTAACGATTACAAAAGCTGACGTTTCGAGCGTTAGCCCTTCGTCGGAGCGAAGTCCGAACAGTTTCATGGAATGCTCTTTTCTCTGTATAGACAGAGATCATCCCACTGGTCAGTTCTTTCGAACAGAAACCGTGATGTTTTTTTTTCTTTTTTTTTTTTTTTGTACTATTAACGATTTTATGTTTACCTTGATTTTATTACTAGCTGTTGTGGGTCTTCCTCGTTTGTCAGTGCTGACATCCTCAGGGAATAGACTTCTCATAAAAGGACTGTAAAGAACAAGAAAAAAAAAAACCTGAATCAGGAAATGCATTAGATGCATGATCGGAACTGAGTAGGTGGCCGAATAGAATTGTGATTGCGTAGCAAGCATGGCGTGTTGCAAAGGAATACTAACTACTCGGGGAAGGGAGGGAAGGGAGGGAGGGGAGGGAGGGGAGGGAGGGGAGGGAGGGGGTTTTGGGACATGCAAACGTTATGCATGTCATCTATTTATCCTGTAAGTCCTTCTGTTAATTAAAGAACCAAAACATTTTTCAAAAAACTCACTTTTCACTTGTCTGCATCAGCTCAATAAGATCCTTGAAAAGAACATCACGGTTTCTCTCGCAAAATCCATTAACATCGTAAGTCACCTGAAAAAAAAAGTGAAGTTAGCAAAAAAACCTAAAACATTCTTACTTGGAAAAAAAAACAAAAAAACTACAAGTATATACAAGTATATAGACCGGACATTCTGACTCTTCTTTAATACCTTTCCAGCATAGTGATGGATTATAAACCCCCCACTGACACCTTGAAAGTGTTGATGTGTACCTACTGCATTATTCAGTTTCTGAAAAAAAATGAAACAATCATTCGTCATTTTACATTTTCCAATAAATTCAACTGAAGATACACTCGCCAGATTCCTAGAGTGGTTCTACTGCTTGATTTTGTGTTGATACTGTTAAGAGAAATTCTGTCTTGGTCACTCATGGGAATTAAAGTGTTAAGATAATTTAGGTAACAATGTGTCAAATACCTCAAGAAGAGTTGCATCAGCTCCTTCACTAACAGCATGCATGGTTGCACAAACATCATCCAGAACACACATAATGCCAGGAGGTTTCTGTCAATGTAAAAAATGTTATTACCAAACATTCAACAATAAATAGGCTTCAATGCCAGACCATAGCACCTAAAATCCATAAATTTTGTTTCACTGTAACAAAAAAGGAGGAGCTTACCTTGCTCTCAATTACATCACAAACAATTTTGTTGTTAAAATAATCAATTGGACTCCAACTGATTCCTTCCTCCACATATTCTTCCTACAAAAGCACATTTTATTTGCATGCAATTATTAAATGCACATAACACAAATCAATAGAAAACAGTATTATTGACAAATAATAATGTAGTAAAGGCAAGTGAGCTTGGATGGGAAATAAATCAGCACCTACACAGCAGTTCATTAGAATAAAATAACACAATACAACTACAGTGTAATGACATATTGAAAGCACTGTCATGTGTTTCAACACTCACCTGCTCTGCTTTCAAAGTCAACTCAATGAAAATTTGTTGTAGCTTTTCATTGACAAAGTTGATGCAGAATTGTTCAAATCCATTTTTCTGAAAGGTTGAGTACAGGATCAGTAAAAAAAACAAAAAGTAGGAAAATTTGTTTTCATTCTTATTAGATAACATGTAAGCTAAACCATCTAAACATCCAATTTGCTCCTTGAAAGAAAGATCTTTATCAGACAAAACAAGTCATGTCATGACATCAGTTCATTTCTTTATGTTCATATAAATTAAAACCTCAATTTACCTGAAAGATTTCGAAGCCATAGATGTCAAGAACTCCAATCGTTAGTTCATCAACTTGCTTCTGCATGGCTTTGTTCACAGACTGCAATGGCAGGCAAGCATCCAATGCAACATTGAACAAGTATATAATAAATACTGATTGTAGCCTTTGTCATTAAAATGTTCCAGCAGCCACAGAAATGATAATCTAAAATTTTTAACTTGAAGTCAAAAAATTTGATTGGCTTAGAACACCAAATCATTCATGCATCCAATTAGAGGTGTCTTGTAAAACAGGCTCTGGTTGTTCAAAGGGCAGATAATGCTATCCAACGGATGAATCACTATCCAACGGATAAGTGTTACAAAATGTACTGCGCTATCCACCGGATAGAGATTTATTCAGTGTATAGTGTTATCCATCATTTGAACAACCGAGGCCAGGACTTGAAACTAACTTTTCAACTTACTAGCCAAGTGGCTAGTGACATCTTACAACAATTTCAGTTTGTTTACTAGCCAAAATGGCGTGTGGAAATCAAAAACCACTAGCCAAAGCTGAACTTCTACTACTCTGTGGCTAGTGGGCTACCGTTAGAGTTGAGCCCTGTAAAATACAATTTCTAGAACTATAAGAACATACACAGCTGACACAACAAAAATATTTCAGTCATTAACGACTTAGTACCTGAACAAGGAAGTCAAACAATCTTGCATAGAGAGCTTTAGATAAGGCATCCCTGGTGTAAGAAGCCTGAAAGAGGATTTATCAGAAATAAAGTCTTCATACATGTAAGAGTCAGTACATTTTCCACAACACGAGTAAATCTGAATGAACATAGAACTTACCAGTACCAAAACAAACCTATTTTATAGTACCAGTAAGCCACCACATGTGAATGTTTCATTATGTTTACCACTGACAATAACTACAGATATAGTGTACCGATTATTTCTAAAACAAATGATTGTAAACAAATGAATACCAAGATTTTTCCCTCACCTGTTCAACATTAAGTTTCATGTTGATAGTTTCAGTTTTTCCACCCCACTTACTGTCCATTACACGACTGGAAAAAAAAGCAATACAACGTTTTCAGTTGCCTGACTATAAATTTTCAAGAAACATTCATTTGAAAACATAATCATTATTGATTTCATAGATTCTGAAGTAATAACCACAATTTTCATACCTGATCAGTTTTTCTTTCAATAACATGTCATTTATACCCAACAGGTATGCTGGATATGCTAAGACTGTCAACAAACAAGAAGTCAGAACAAAATTAGACTTGAGCAGCTACTCTCTCAGGGTAAAACCTTACTTAATACTTCATTCAAGTAGATGTGGGGATACCCCGTACATCAAAACATGGAAGCAACAGAGTCATTACTGAGCACCAGAAAACACATCAATGTGGAAACATTGACTCCAATTTTCAGTCCAGTGAGGCAAGACTGAAGTTTGGTTACCATTTTGTAAAAACTCTGTCACAAACCTCTTGGGTGTCTCACTCAACTAATCATTACCACTAATTTTAAGTTTATACTTAGAAGTACAAGTATTGTACTAACATTCATCATCACTCGGTACAGCATAGTTTCCTTGCTCCTCAAAGGAAATATTTCCTAAATGAAGGACCCCAGCCACTATCTGCAGCACACTTCCTTGGTCCTCATCAGATATTCCTATCACATCCATTGCTTTCTGAAAAAAATAAAAGAATAATGCTTTCAGAACTCTCATTGCTGTTGCATACAACTAAGGAAGTAAAAGAACCCTTCAGGACAAGATCACAATATGGCTTGGGTCTTGCTGGTGAGCATGAGCTGATTCTCTTTGAAGCAATCCATGAAAATTGTCTTGCCAGAATAAGGAAAATTTTATACCTGTATGTGTGGTTCTTAAACCTTAGTCCTATCCTGCCCTAGAAAACTACTCCAAGTTCTTCAAATTTATAAATCAGACTGTCTAAGTGAAAAAAACAAACTTCATTGCCTTACTTCTAAAGCAATTGCTTAGTAAGTTCAGATGCTACTTGGCCAAAGGGCAAGAGTGCAAGAGTGCTTGATGATAACACCATGAACACTCACCCTGGTTTCTTCATACTCCTTTACGTCATTCGTACCATCAACTGAGTATGTTCCACTCTGATTTAGATAGTAGTAGTAGCTAGGTTCTGTGAGACCTAACTGACCTATGCACATAACACAGACATTTTCAATAAGTCAGTATTGTTTATATTGTATTTTAATAAGTAACATATGTATTCACCCATTGAACTATACAATTGTGAACAAAATGTAAAGATGTACTAACCTTTCTCTTCTTGTGTAGCACCAGTAATAAGTTGATAAAAAATGTGAAAGTTCCTTTCTGATGGATTCTGACTGACAACTCTAGACTGCAAGATTAAGAAACCAATCTTTTACATAAATACTGATTTATTTTCAATACATGACAAAGAGTAAGGAGTGGGGTAAAATTGTTCTCTGTAATGAAAAAGAATTCAAAATCCCTAACTTAAGAAACTAATGTTACAAATTAAAAAGTTTTCAAAACCTTTTCGAGTAAGAAGTTGGAGATCTTGCCACCATCAGGTTGACCACCTTTGGTAAATTGTATCTCAACATACTTTCCCTAGATGTGAAATAATTGAAAACAATATTATATGAATAATCAAAACTGTAATCAAAACTATAAAAAATTCTCATTAATGACTGGTTAATAACCAGCCCAATTATAAGACTGAAAGCACAGTTTACCCATTGTGTGTCTAATTGGATAGTGTTTTAGGACAGTGCAACTGTAAAGCCTGTGCAATATCACTTGCATGCCCTGTTACATAGATTGTTTATTTTCTCACAATAAGTAAAATGTCTGTTTTAATTTATGAATATATTCTCGGATTATACTTATCATCAAATCAGACTTCCCCTGCAATCTTTCCGCTCACTCCTTTAATTACTGGACACTGCTCCGTACTGTTACCTTTGTTAATCTTTCTAAATGCATTTACATTGTCCATTATAATCTAAGTTGGTCTATAAATGAAGTAAACTTACAAATCTACTGGAGTTATTATTCCTAACAGTCTTGGCATTACCAAAAGCTTCTAGAAGAGGGTTGGATTCAAGAATCACATCTTTGACTTTCTGTACACTTGGACCCCCACCAGATACTTTAGCCAGATAGTTCATAATGAACTTGGCACAAACTGTCTTTCCTGCTCCACTTTCACCACTGTACAAAATTAAGCAATACAAACATTGTTTTTATGTACAATATCTTAACACTATCGATATTAAAATCGTTGCTTGAAAAAATGGAAATCAAGCACACAATATCAAAAAGGACCAGATGACAATAACAGGATGTACATAGTAAACACTATATTCAATGTTGTTCTATGTATTTTAAATCATTTCTTTTTAATGGCAAACTAAATGCATTGAGAATGTATATCTAGAATCAAATGGCTTTGTCCTATGCTATATCTTCCTGTCCCAAAACTGCAGCAGAAGTTCAATAATGGTAATAGGTACATTTTCACTGATGTGTTTGCAACCAGTTGGATGGCTTCAATCCAAAAGAATCATATCACATTCTACTAACTGAATTGGGCTTCTGAATCATACAAAACGATTTTCAAAGTTGAGTCCAACTAGTTTGAAATCTTAACAAGGCCAACATCTTTTCACTAACATTTGCTAATTTTTAAGTTATTACCTGATAATCACACACTGATTCTCCTGATCAATCAACATATTTCTGTACATGTTGTCAGTAAGGGCATAAATTTGCGGAGGATTTTCATATGATGCCTGAAAAAAAAAAAGGACTCTCATGATTAGTCCTACATAACAACAAATGTTACTTACTAACCTAGCTCATTAAAGCTAAATTGGTACCCAGGGGTTTCATTAATGTTTTCTGCAGGAGGGCAACTGGTTTTCACAGGCGGGCAAAACTCTTTGAACTGAACTTCTTTATAAGATAAACTTTCCTCCAGACCGTCAAATCAGGTGGGCAAAACTGTCCTCACAACCGGTCAATTTGCCCGGTGCCTGGCCCTTAATGAAACCCCTGGGTACCTAAGAACTCTGTTTATTCTAAGGAGTTTGTTTTGTGGCAAAAAAAAAAACAACAAAGATTTGCTAGTAAAAAAAAAGCATCCTCCTCCTTTGTTCTATGACATGCTTGCAGATCTGGCATAAATGCAAGTTTGAGTCTGTTTCTGTTGTTGACATACAGGATGAGTTATAAATTCAATTGGTAACTTACAGCTCCTTGATACTGGTCAATTTCTTTGTCTGTAAAGTAAGGCATCTGCTTGAATGGGTTGACAGAAATCAGCACAGGACCAATGTATGTCTATTGATAAGGGTTAAGGCTGCAAATTCAAATGACACACCCCAAATAGTGCCAAGAGCACCTATAATATATGGTACTACAGGGCTCACAATGAATAATTGCACAAATAAAATGAAAGAGTATAGCTTTATCATTTGATCAAGAGGCTAATGGCTTCTACTCTAAACAAACTTCATCACATGAAATGTGTCTTTGTATAATCAATAGTTGGCTAGATACTATTTTGTTAAGCACACAACCCCACAAGCTTTTTAGCTTTAATTCTTATCGTGTATAGATAAAGATTCTATTCTACAAGACACTGTCCAACCTGTAACGATGTTAATTTATGTATGTCGAGTTAATTTATACAGTTTACCTTACATCTGAGTTCCCGGATGTATTCGTTCACCTCGCTTGATGTGCACTCGGCTTACAAGATTAAATGTTGTGTTTAGAGTCTCTGGTGTTTCACTGTCTGTCTTAGCGAACACGTTACACAACCAACATCTGAGCTCCCTTCAAAAACTTTTCACAATTCTACACCTATTTTCCTCCATTTATTTTTTAAATAAACAGAGAGCATTTAAACTCTAGCAAGCTTGAATTCAAATCCATATTCACCATTTCATGGAAGAACCAAGCCATGAGAGTGTGCGGAAAAGCATTTATTTATCAGATTAAAAATGATTTAAATCCTGACCTTTCTGCTAGAGCCTTCAAAACTGTAGACTGAAAGCCCAAAATTTTTGCTTTAAACATAAAGCTAAGACTGCTTTATGTTGGACAACTTTCAGCTTCTGTTACAAATTCTTTAAACATATAGCAAGGAAGCAGTTAATAATCAGTCTTACACAAATCATATTGCATTTAAGACATAGCTGACAAGTCACACTAAATATCAGTCAAACTGATACCAGCTAACTAGCCTGTCTCCCAGAAAAGGCACATTCCAATAAGCTTACTCTAGCAGAGGTGGTTTCAGTTGACTGCTTTCCCAAGGGTATCCTCAAAACAAGAGGGGGAAACTAAAAATAAACCTGATTACACCAAATTTCTGAATTTCTAAATTTGTACAGCAACTGGATTAGCCATGCATAGACTGGCACGACACTGCAGCCATTTTTTAGATTTAAAATCATAAAAAGATTTTTTCAAAAAAATATTAGGGTGCGCTCTAATTTGTCACAGTCATCAGAATTCCATGGTTACAGATTAGTTTCGTGTCATTGTCCGGCTGGTGCTGAAAAGCTCCGTTTGTAGATGTATCCATCCAGATCACGTACAAATCCTACGCCATAAGTATAGGCATTGTTCGCGAGAAAAATTTCCGTCACTATCCAATACAATTTCAACCGTTTCTACCAAAGTTCTTCGCAAATTTGTACCAGCCGATCGCTAAATTATACCTCAATAAATCCCAAAATTATCTTAAAATGCAGACGCCCCACAGCGTGAGTTTTGAACTAGATCTAGGACGGAAACAAAACTCGAGAAGAATTAAATGAAAAATAAATCTTTTAAAAAACCATTTGATAATCATCCGGAAACTTTTCCGATGGATAATGAAATTGACACGCAGCTGATAACACGGTTTCTCGTCTTTTGTTCCTGAAAGCAAGTAGTCGTATTTGTTTGTCTACTAACATTTCAAACGATGCAAGAATTTGACAACAAAAATATTTGTTTTTCTTTCGACTGATTGAGAAAATATTGGGGTAACATTCGAGAGGGAGAGTTAAAGATCAGATTTAACGAAAGAGGATGACCATATAGGAGTATTTAGTGTACCACAACAGCTTATTGGAGTTGTGCATTCTCAATTCCCACTGAGAGAAAGGATACAAATATGAGGTCGTCCATGTATCGTTTCTTGAGATTCTCCACGATCGCCGCTTCTTGGATCTTCGGCAGAAGAACCATATCTTCCACTCCACTTGCTTTGACATTGCCCTTACTTTGCCAATGGTAGTTCGATGGCTATGAATTGTATAACAAAGAGAAACTGAGTTTTGGTGCTCCAAATTTTTCCTAATAAACAGACTCAGGCGGCATTCTAAACCACCGTACTCACCATTTTATCGGCTTGTTCCAGAGAAGTTCTAAATACTAATGATCAACAGGGAAAAAGAATAAGGAAGCTGTAATCATGCTCAACAGTAAAGCGAGAGACGGATTTCACATACACCGGAACCTCCTCTCAGTGCAGTTCGGAAGTGATGTTTTCATTTGGCGCGCATGACATTAATTACTCACTGTAAGGAAAGAACAGGTTTCAAATTCTAACACGTTCTGTGATTGGGCGGTGTTGATTGCTCAGCCAATCATAACAGCGTTCGTAGCATTAACACTTAAAGGTCTAAAAATAGATCTGACAGAACCAGTATTTTCATTGCCAGTGAATTCGATTGTCTGCTTTTTTGCGGTGAATTAATATACAAAATATCGAAAAACTTTAAGCGTTTGAAATAACTCATATCTAATTGAAACCACATCAAATTACTTATGAAAAAGGATCTATCTCTGTTTTTATCTGAGTTTGAAAATTCACATCAAACCCATAAAAATAATTTTTGTTTTCATTCTAGAATTTTTAACTGAAATATTCGTTAAAAAGCGATAGTAGAAATTTATTTGAATAATTACTGTCGATGAAGACAGCTCGGAATAATAAGAATACATTATTGTGTATTAAAATTCCTGAGGCATGATATCATTTGATACCCACAGGCAATGCAGCTGCAAAGTAAAAATTTGGATCAATATTATTGATAAGTTTTTATTCTTTTTGCATCAGGACCGTGAGTACACGTGGGTTTTTTTTTAATCACTATTTCCTTCATATCTTCGGAAAACAGAATAAAAATCAACTTGAAGATTCAAATGTATTTTCTCTCTCAAGAATGTAACTTTTATACCTTTCTCTCCTAGAGTGTCTAGAAGATCAAATTTCAGATTAGTGATAGTCATGAGCCGAAGAAGAACTTTATGACGAGTTTCTACATGTTAGATATGCATAATATGTAAATCATAGCTATAAATTTAACTCTTATGGTTATGCAAAAGAACCCCACAGGGTCATTTGGTAGCCTTGGTCCTAATATTTAATCTGGGATATGTAGCAGTAGGTCACTTATAAAACACAATTTTAAATGTAACTATTTTGATTGTTCCCCCATATACCTTTCATCTCTAATCATTTTATTTTCATCTCTAATCATTTTTTTCACCTAATCATTCTGTTTCACCAATTTTCAGTGTAGCATCAAGGTAAAAAAATTGATTTTAAAGAAGTATTTACTCCCTCTACCTGTACCCAAATAAAATGCCAAAAGGGAAAATCTCAAGAAAATAAATTGAGATCATTTCTCCCAACCTCATCCTCAGAGTTTCTCACCTTCCCACCCCTAGAGTAAGAGAGGGGCAGGAAAATGAGGGACCTTAAAGGTTGCATTTCTTCCATTCTCTAAAGAACAAGATGGTTAATCTTAGGGGTAACTTTTTACAGTTATGGGTATCATCTCAAAAGTGGTTTCATATCCTACACTTTGGGAAAATTAGGGAGGGTCAGATATAAGGCAAATAAAGAAATTGCACCATTATCAAATTAAATACAATTTGTATGTATTAATTTTTAGTATGCAATATAACACAAGTGTAAATGCTGATGGCTTCATCATCCAAGAGGCAATAACTAGATAGTCAAAAAAAATTAAAACAATTTGTTTTGAAAAATTTATGAGAAGTCAAAGACTCATCCTAAAGCTTAAATTAGTGCAGGTCAACTGCTTGCCATCACCAACATTTTAACCTCCTAATTTGACCCTTTTTTTTTTTTTGGAATTCTAACTTGTTTTGAGTTTGAGCGGCCAGGTAATTTTACAACTCGAACGTCCAAGATTTGACTGTTACTCTCCAACTTTAGACGCACTGAGTAAGTCATGTGGGCACATAAACTGCAAATTGTGTGACATACTGAGTATGTCATATGGGTAGTGAAGGAGTTAAATAAAATTCAAGACTGTTAGACTACCCAATCCTGATATCACAATGAAGAGGCAGCAGTGGATTAAGTAAAGGAGTGAGTTGAACTGCTCCTTAATTCTTAACTCTTTAACTCACAAGATCTATTCTGCCAAAAAATTTACAAATTAGACTTATTTGGCAACCAAATTGTTGTGCAGGTGATTGAAGCAAAATGTTTCATTACCATCTACTGCCAGAGTAAATAAGTTAATTCCCTGGAATGCAGCTTCTCTTCTCAAAACAAAAAGAAAAATTTTGTTTCACTATTGATCATCTGATGAGTCTTCATAATCGCTGCTGTCTTCCTCCTCAATTGTTTGACATTCTTGAATATTGGCAAATCCTCCAGCCATTAATGGGGCTTGAACAGGGACAGTTGGGACATCATTAGGGTCTGGACCTTGAGACGTTCCCGACAAGAGTTGTTCTACAAAGATACAGTTGGTAAGAATGTGCTCTTTTGGGGGATCACTTACAATGACTTTGCGCAGCATTGGATGGAATATATCACAAACTATAATACCTTTTGCGATAAGATGTACATCCCCATAATACTCCTGACATTGCATTGCTTTGCCATCAAAATCAGATGAACCTCCATAAAGTACAAACTGGTCTCCTACCAGAGTGGCTGTGTGTACCCCCCTGCCTGAAGGTTTGTTACCAGATGTTGATGGCTGCAGCCACTCATTTGTCTCTAGAAATTGAGAGGGATCAAAGCAATCATCGTTTTCATAATCAGGAAATCAGAGAGAAATATGTACTAGCCACAGTCCAGAGTTATATTTGTTTTTGTTTTTTTATTTATTTATAGGCCAAGCAAGTGCAGAGAAGAAGCTTGAAAAAGAACTATCTTTGGTTATCAAATTTGGTAATTCCCTTGAGTATCTTAAATGTATGTCACATTTTTTACAAATGCTCCCAATGAAAAACAAAGAGAAAGAACATCTGTGATCCAACAAAAATGCATAAAATAATTTTTTTGGACAATAGGTAAAAAAAGTTTTTGGTTAGTACAACTTTGTGGTCTGTGACAAGCTCTATTGCCTTGACAACTGGCAGTGAATTTCAAAGAATTTGCTTAAAAAATACACACTGACTCATTATTTCTGCTAGTTACATGGAAAAGTAGACAGAAGAAAATCTTTCGCAAATCAGTTTTAACATTTAGCAGAGTATATGATTGGAATGACCCAGTTTACATCCCAAGATTTTATATTTGGGCCCACAAAAAAGGTGTGACAGATTATTCAATAATTAATTACCTGTGTCAAAGATGTGCACATCATCAAAATGAGCATTCTCCAAACTTCTTCCACCAAAAACTACCACTCTGTTGCCTACAGCTGTGCATGTGTGGAATGAACGAGGTTCTGGCTGTCTTCCTGTTGTTGGCTTTGAGATCCATTCCAAAGTTTCTAATAGTTAATTATAGTACCATCCATTAAACTGCTTTTGACATAAAACTATAAAGCTATTTATAGTCTATCAAGAAAGATAAAATAGTAAGTAGAAAATAGGGTAGCCTTTTTCAGGCTCTCAATTAGAGGTCAGAAGAAAAAACAAGTTTGTGCAAAGGTAAGTGGCAAGTATTAGGCACACAGCAGTGGCAATTGTCAAGGAAACAGTTACAAAACAAGTGCCTTTAAGAATTGTTTTAAAAACTTCCTTCCAATATACCAGTTATAAAGACCTTACAGCTGGTTAACTTTCATGGTTAACATCAACACTTGCATTTAAATCAATTACTTGGCTTCGTGTAGCTTCTTTCAATTCTCCTCACTTTCAAGTTTTTTGAGTGCCCACTTTTTTGCTTTTTTTTCAAGTAACAGGTTAAAACTGGGAGGCAGATGAGGGGGTCTGGGTGTGATCTAAGGACAAGAAGAATGATACTGAAAAAGTTATTGGAATATTATAAATTAAATCACCTGTATCCAAAACAAAAAGATCATTCTTTCTACCAACACTGTCTCTGCCACCAAAGACAACAAGTCTTGATCCAACAGCACACATTCCATGAGCTGCTCTAGGTGTTGGAGATCCAGTAAATGAAGGAGTGAGCTTTTCCCACATACAGTTCTCTATACAGTCAACAGTATCAGAAAGTCAATTGTATATAACAGTTTAGTGAATTTCCCTATGCTCTAAACTCTTTTTTACAGATTCTTTACTTGGATACCCTTGTTTAAGACTCACTGTCGCTTCTTCCATACTGACTTAGTTATTTATAAGATACTGAACAGGGAAGGTCAGTTTTGATTTCTTTCAGACTGCAAAGAAAATACAGCAATGTGTGTATGCACTGAAGCATATAACAGGTGCATCATCTCTTCATCTCTATATACATTACAATTACCACTTCAAGCAAACATCACAGAAAACATGAAGCTTAGAATTGCCCTAAGCCATTCTTCAAGCAACTTTTACACATCATTCTTGCTCAAAGTCCATGGATTCTTTATATCACAATGACTGTACATGCTGATACATGAAAAATTGTGAAAAAACACTAAAAACCTCAGAATCTTGTGACATGGCTCCTTTCAACCTCACCTATTCATGAATAAAGTGTTCACTGAATTCAATCAATTCCTACAATTTGATTCCTGAAATCCCTACCTGTGTCAAAACTGAAGAGATCGTTAAACCAACCAAACTCTGTTCCCTCCTGCTCAGATGTTCCTGTCTCCAAATTCTCCATAGGACCAAAACCACCAAAGAAAAGAATCTTGGATCCCATAGCAACACAAGATAGCTTATCACGTGGAGATGGAGGGTCTCCTTTACAAGTGATATTTTGCCACTGCTTTGTTTCTAAAAAAGTAAACTTACATCAGGCAAGTATCACTGAGCTTTGTGAATTCTTATGGCTCCGAAAGTTTTTTCTAATTAAGGTACGATTTGATGAGGAAGTCAATATCCTGTTTCAAAAAGAATTAAATTGTAAAAAATTGAATTACAAAAAATTAGAATAGCAAGTACTTTTTATTTTACCTTAGTCTTATAGGAATGCCTGTGAAAGGAAGTATCTAGCCAGTGTAATGGACTTAATCTTTCACTTCTCTGCGTGCATTGTGATTTTAAAATCGCACCAAGTCATGTACATACCAGTATCAAAAGAATGTAGATCATTGAGCCAGCCACAATCTCTACTTAGTCCACCAAAAACATACAGTTTCTTTCCCACTGCAGCCATAGTTGCGGAGGATCTGGCTGATGGAACCTCACCTCCTGTGATAATCTTGTTCAATGAGTGAAAAGCTTTTGAAAAATTATTGAGAGAACATAGTTTGGATATGACAGAAATTACTATAACTGAGTTTTGTCGTTTTCTTTAAATTACTGAGGTGACATACATAAAACTGACCAATTCTGATACAGGGAAAAAAAAGGAATGAATCCCATCTAAATTTTCTTTTAGCATTGCTTGGTTACATCCAAGATTTCTTTAACTACACATTATATATTGAGCTATCGATTTATTTGTTTAATGACTTGCAAACTACATAAACATTTTCATATAGCGAGTCGTATCGTCGCGAAGTCAAAAGAGGGCCATTTCCCAAATTCTCCCTAAGCTCGAAAACTCGAACAAATCATCATACAAAACACCTCTCGACAACATGCACCAAGTTTCGGGTGGGAAAGGCAATGTTAGCCCGTCATGATAGCCAGACAGTAATCCATTTTACGACAATTCTACAGATCTATGAAAAGGACAACCGAAATTAGGTGGTGTACGCCTTCGTTCGCTAATTACGCAAGGCTCGCCGATCACGAACGTTCTCCAAAGCATTCGGAGATTAAATCCTGACTATTAAGAACACAATTACACATCTTATGGTCCCTGGCACTTACCAACATCGAAAACAAGAATTTCATTGGATTCTGTCACTTCCCCAAGATCAGAAAGCCAACGAACTCCACCAAAAAAGTAGAGTTCGTTCCCAATAGCGGCCGCACAATGTCCGTCACGAGCTGGCAACTTTGCGTCCATTTCTACCTTTTTCCATTCAACTTTTACATCGTTTAGAAGCCTTGTTCCATAAGTAACCATTGATGATGATTCATTTCCCATTTTTGACTCGATAGTATAGAAAAAAAATTAAAGAAAACGTGAGCACGCGACTGAACGAAACTTATCCTTCGGTACTGCAGCGCGAAATTCAGATTTTGGCGGGAAGGTCTCTAACCTGTCAATAATATGACTGGCCAATCACAACAAACAAACGCAAATCGATTTCGTCCAACATGGCGGACGGTACAGGGAAAACTGCAGATGCCGCTGAGGAGAAAATACCTTTCAATTTCTTCAAGAAAATACCGAAAATTGTAAGAATTTGGCAAGGATCTCTCCGTGGTTTCCGTGGGTCATGAAATAGTTCGGGAAGAAATTTGTTTTGGTTAGGAACTGGTAGGGCAAAGACCACGTGAATCTTTTGTCGAGTAAGGGAAAATTAAATTCGAAGAACTGATCTAAAAAGTCAGGAAATATTGAGATTATGAAAATATTATTTACACCATTTCAGGCTGGTAGAAGCTTTTTTGGCTATTTTGATCTCAACGGTGGTGAGCTCTAATAATCTAATCTTTACAGTTTTGACAAGTCTACATCTGATGATCTTGCCTACTTATGTCAGTGGGTGAAAAAGAATATTAATGCTCTAAAAGGAGGCTAGCTGCCGAAACTTTTTGTCACGTTTTGTATTTATTTGGTATAGGAAATTTTATCTTCATAAGGGAAACGTCAGGGGATTTTGAGACGTGATGTCTGCAGCAGTGTATAGCTATTAAGTTCTTCTATGCCATGATGAAAATGGATTGAATTCAAACTCACTAGAGTCGTTTAAATCAGTTCCTACGTTGCAAATTTCCTCATCTCTTGGTGTAACTGTCTTCTAGGAACTTCATGCCCATATAAATGGATCCATAAGCACAGAGACAATCGAGAAGCTCATAGAAAGGAAAGCTGAGCAAGGAAACAATGACTGTTTGGTGTCCCAGTGGCAAACAACAATTCACAAGGGAGAAGAGCGAGACTTAAGCGAGTAAGTTATGTGAAATCTAGTTATGATGTCATTACCTTAAGGATTCAGTGGCTTAAGATAATGGAAGTATTTATCCATTTCCAGGATTTAGATGGGAGTCATCTGGCTAAATAATTTGCTTTTCATTCCTTCATTTATCATTTAGACATCATTTTATTCACCCATTCATTCATTCATCTATTTACCTTTCATCCTTTTATCAGTTGTTTGTGTATTTGTTTATCCATCCTGTTGTTTGTTTGCTGTTTCCTTTCTAATTTTTATTCCTGCATGAAAAGTAATCTCACTGGCAATGAGTGTACATTAATCAATAAATATTTTAAAATAGCAATCAACCAGTTGTAGGACCATTTTTGGTTCATGAAATACTCATGTTGTTGATCAATAAATTCATGAAAATTAATTTTTTTTTAATCTACAGTTGTTTGTCAATGTTTGGCATCATTTACCAGCTTGTAGATGACACAGAGGCAGTGTATCTGGTAAGAGTCTGACCTAGGTTGGCATTTTATCTATTAGATACACCACTCCAAAATATACATGTAGCTACATCTGTGTTTGGGTCTAAATGTAGTTTATAACACCAATGATTTCATTATTTATCATGTTCTCACAATTCCTAGGATCAATGAAAGTGTACTAGTTACATCTCTAGATATAGGTTTGCACAATCCTTAAATAAATATTTTCAATATGAATGATGGAACTTACTGATTATGAGATGTTTTGGCAGACTTATTACATGCTGTGCACTTGTTGGCATAAACGAACAGAAAATTGTGATTATTTCAAAACCTAGTCATTTTTTCACTAAATGGTACTGGTTGTTAAAGTATTAAATTTTTCATTTATTGAAGGGTTTTGTTTTTATTTTTTTCAAATCTCTTTCAGGTAACAAAAAGTGTTATTGAAGACTTTGAACAGGATAATACAAAATACCTAGAGCTAAGGAGCACACCCAGGGCCAACCCTGAGACAGGTGCTGTAATAATCAAAGTAACTGCAGATCATAACTTTTAATTTCAACTACAGAATTATATAGACTAAAACATAGATACATGCTGTAAAAGAACTGCACTTTATTTGAAATGAGCGCTCTATCCATTGAGCTAATCATCTCCCCCTTAGCTCAATGGATAGAATGCTGGACTGTTGTGCGGGAGGTGGAGGGTTCAAGCACCAGCTGGACCAACACTCAAGATCTTAAAATTATTGAGAAGAATATGCTACCTTCCTATAACATCAAGAAATGGTTAGATATTCTAGTCTTCTCGGACAGGGATGAATGAATGGAGGTCTCGTCTCCTACAGGGTTAGGGGTAGGAGACGTTAATTTCCCACGCACGAGATTACTGTGTGATGGATGTCCTCCCCTGGGGTGGGATGGGTGGGATTTAATGGGTGGACTGCTCGCATGGATTGCAATGTTCCGTTCTAGTCNCTTCATCAACCCTCTCTCGTAGGTAAATACCCTCTGCAATTAATTATGGAAATCGCTACTGAATATAATTGAAAATCTGAGGTCATTTATTCCTTATTTTACCATTGCTTCAGTCTGAAATTCCACAAAATTTATGTGTCATCTTTAACAGGGATGGTTACCAGTAAGTTAAATACTAAATAAATCAAATATTATGTTGATATTTTTCTTCAGGGATGACAAAGCAGTCCTACATAGACGCAGTTTTAAAAGCTATTGATGAAGCTAAAAGTACAGCCCCCAACATAACAGTGAGGTAGTAAAAGTCCTGGGACGGAGGTACTCCTTGGAATTCTTGGTCAGTTTGTGCTGCCTTAAATTATCCCAACGCAGCCTTCATTTCATACCAAAACATGCCACTTCCATACTAGTTTCAGATCGGGCCTCCAAAATCCATACCCATTTGCAGACATTGCTTAACTCTGGTTTCTGTAGCATGACACAACTAGGAGTATTTGTACTCCCCCCTAGATGGGATGCCAGTCCATCGCAGGGTTACCCCCAGCATTAGATTGCCGGTACCCATTTATACACCTGGGTGAAGAGAGGCACTGTGAGAGTAAAGTGTCTTGCCTAAGAACACAACACAATGTCCCGGCCGGGGCTCTAACCCGGACCAATCGATCCGGAGTTGAGCGCACTAACCATGAGGCCACCGCGCCTCCACAATTTATATCAGTACAGCAGTCAAAAAATAGTAAAATCCAAACTAAATTCATCTCTCTCTTCTCTCTTTCTCTGTCCATCTTGATCATTCATATTAATTTAAAAAAACGGATTATAATATTTTTTGCTCTTGTGGTTAAGCCCCAATTCCTCAATATACAGCTTTAGATCTGACTGAAGCATCAAGAGGCATAATTTTGCAGATCGACTTCTACAATCTCCAGGGTTAAATTGTGTCATAACTGTGTCACTTTAATATTAATAGAAAAGTATAAATTCCCATCTCAAACCTCAGATGCCGAAATGTTTATTTGTCTTGAATTCAGGTTTATACCTGCCAAAAATCGGAAACTTGGCCCAGATGACGCCATGGATACTGTGAAGTTGGCCATAAAGTACAAAGAAAATGCTACAGGGATTATTGTGGGTTTAGACTTGAGTGGAGATCCAAAAGTAAGTACACAAGGAAAATAATATTGATTGTGGATGGAAATAGTATATCTTTCTGAGGGTTTTTAACCCTTTGACTCCCATTGAGTGACCATGCAAGACAGAATTCCTCTGTACAACATCAATCCAATATCAAACAGGCAAATAAAGAAAAGCATCAATTAGAGGATTAATGGTTGACCAAATTCTCCTAACTAACATTATAAGAATTGTATGGCAAACAGTAAGGAGAATTACTGATGATATTCCTAGCGTACATATATGGGTTAATTGACCACTCCCCATAGGGACTTTTCAGGGCCAACACCCACCCATCCCACTCAGGGGAGGACATCCACCACACAGTAATCTCGTGCTTGGGAAATTAACGTCTCCTACCCCTAACCCTGCAGGCGATGGGGCCTACGGTTTATTCGTCCTTATCCGAGAAGACTAGAATATCTATCCATTTCTTGATTATAGAAAGGTAGCAAATTCTCCTCACTTATTTTAAGACCATGAGTATTGGTCTGGCCGGGGCTCGAACTCTCGACTTCCCGCACAACACAATCCGGCTCTCTAACCAATTGAGCTAACCGGGAGGCGGTTAGCTCAATTGATGAGATTTTGAGAGTGAAAGGGTTAATAACTTTGTCCATATTAAGAAGTTACCAATGGTGTTATAGGCAGCTATACTCAGAAAGGGGCAGTAAGGTGAAACCCAAATACTAGAGCTTGGTCACAGGCTAAGCAGACAACGGTAAGGGGTCTAATAGGCAGCAGTAGACCACTGGTAACAGGCTTTTAACTCTTTAACTCTCAGAAGTGTTTAACATGTAACTTCCCCCTATAATATCCCTACATTATTTAGCAAACAGGTAATGAAAATACTCAAACTTATTAGGTAGAAGTTGATGTCCTGGATTGACACCAAATTCTCCTTGCTAATTTACAAGAAAATGTTTAGCAGCTAGAGGGGAGAATTAAAAATCAGATCTTGTGACTTAAAAGGTTAATGAAACCCCTAACACTGTAAGTTATTTTGGAAGCAACAACAAGGCAGCTAACATTATGTTAGTTGTCTTTAAAATCAGATGAGTCACTTAATCAGGAAATCTTTGTGGTTTCATAAATATTTTTGTAATCTGTGTTTACCACAAGATCATAAATCTAATGATCTCTTTAGGTGTCAACAGGTGCAACACTGAAGAATATTTTACAGAGTGTTGTACATCTTTGAAGTAAAGCTTTGGTTTATGATAAATGAGTATATGTGATATGTTCATGTATTGTTTCAATTTCTTGTGTGGGATATCTTATTTCCAGGTACATGATTCAATTAATTTTGTACCTGCCCTGAAACTCGCCAGAGAAAATGGCTTGAAACTTGCCTTGCACATTGCAGAGGTAATTTTGAATGAGTCATCATTTGAATATGTAATGACATGTTATTGTTTGTCTTTAAATTAAGTCAACGGCAATGTGGAATGCAATGTTTATTTTGCTTCGTCACAAAAACTCTTGTTATATTATCAACCACTCAAATTCAAAACTAACACAAATATGATGGCTTGTTCTCTCACATATTTTCTGCACTTCAGGCTGCCTGCTTGTTTTGACCTTAAACAGAAAAACAAACAAGCATGACTTTCTTTTATTTTGAATTTGAAGGGTCACTTAGAAGCTTATATTTTTGAGAAATATAAATGAGCATATTAAACATAGTGTTTAACAATGCGATACTGGCAGAAGACAGATCATTTGGCCATATATACAAATTGCAATAAGGCAACCAAGGACAAATCCAGGAAATTGCATGGTGGAGGGCTTGAACCCTGGGACCACCAGATGACAAGAATATAGGGCCCTAGCCACTCCGCCACTGGGACACAATCACTCTAGGTATTTGTTAATGATGACTTTCAGGTTTCAGAAAACTGAAAAAAAAATAAACCCCTTTGCTTGTTCTCCAAACAAACAACTGTGCAAAGTGGACAGTGATCTCACCAATAATGTAATTATTAGGTTCCTGACCTAGAAGAATCAAGAGTGTTGCTAAATGTAATCCCAGATAGAATAGGCCATGGAACCTGTATTCATCCAGAAAATGGTGGATCAGAAGATCTTGTGAGCGTAGTAGAAGAACACTCTATTCCTATTGGTGAGTCTGGAACTTGATCAATGTTGATCAACCAATGAATGCCATCTTGTATCAGGAGGGTATAGCTGTCACATTCGCCCATACCAGATAGGGTGCATTACAAAAATATGTTTCATTAATGAAAAGTAAATTGAGATTTCTTTATCTCTTTGACAAAAGATCAAAACATTCTGGTGGGTAAACCCAGGAGAAAACTTGGTCTAGGTTATCATGGCTGCTAAGAGAGTAATGGTCTTCAAGAAAATTATGATGCACAGGAGGAGCCACCTGTTGCTGTTGGTTTTGGATGTAGCATTTATAATAATTATGCCAAATGTTCTAAGCATATCCCCGGATTCCTAAAGACATTTAACCGTTTACACCCTAACATCAGTATGCATATTCTCCATATTGTTCTCTTTACATTTCCTTAGGTGCTGACAAGGAGAATTTGTTTAACAATCAAGAACTTCTTTACATGATGATCATTTCCTTTACTCTCATGACCTTATTGTGTGTTTCAGGGGTGATATTGTAAGGAGAAATTAGATGTTGGTCACTGTTACGCTGATCATTTCATCTATTCTCATGACCTTAATGTGTGTTTCAGGGGTGATATTGTAAGGAGAAATTAGATGCTAGTCACTCTAAGGCTGGTTTAAGGGTTTTAACCCTTAAGACCTGACTTAAAAGTTAGATCTTGGGTCCTCCGTGCTTACAAGGAGAAAATATTCTTTCTATGCATCTACACATGAATGCATACATTTCAGTTTTTATAGGTGAGTCACGGTAAGATCCATTGAAACTACCAAGGGGAAACATAATTCCAGATGTGCAGATCCTTGACAGAAAACTCATGTTGCTTCATTTGATTCTCAACAGAACTTTGTCTTACATCCAATGTTAAGACCAAGACTGTTCCATCATATTCTGAACATCACATGGGCTACTGGTACAGCAAACAACATCCTTGTATTGTTTGTGTAAGTAGCAATAATCATTATTGTCACTTGTCCGTTTTACACATTTCTAGACAAATCAGCTTATTAACTTGCTGTTCTAAGACAACAGTTGATAATGAACTTGTTTTAAAGGCCATGTAGCCCACTGTACCCCTCTCCCCCTTTTGCATTGTCAATTAGAATCCTGGAAACATTTAGAAAAGATGTAAGTCAGTTTTAACATTGCTTGTGGGGAGAGGTACCAATTAAACATCCTCTTAAAGATAATTTTTAACCAGACATAAATCAAATTTTAACTAAGAAGTTTTTTTTGCCTAATAGTAGGATAAGGGTGCCCCACAAACTGTACTCAGCCAGGATTTTAGATAAGCTTGGTTCATTTTTGAAAAAATAAAACTGGAAGTATTCAGCATCACTCTGTCTCTCCATCATGTTGCCAGACAATCGCAACCTTCATTTAAAAAATAAACACACTTATTTTTAATATAGATGGGAGAAATCATAGAAATGTTTAATCTCTCTCTACTCTCCAATCTTTATGACACTGAATTGAAAACTGCATAGGAGGGATCTAGATGACTTATTTTCTTTCTGTTTCATTCCTTTACATACTGTTTTATATATATATATATATATTTTTTTTTATGACAGACTGATGATAAGGGTGTGTTTTCTACAACATTATCAGAAGAATACTCTGTGATGGCCAGGACATTCAACCTCACAGAAGAACAAGTGTGGAACTTGACATTTAAAAGTATAGATTATATATTTGGAGGAGAGAAATTAAAACATGACCTTAAAGAGTTATGGAAAACCGAGAAAGAAAAGATTATTTCTTCAGTTCATTAACAATTAAATTTGAACACAATGAAGCCTATGGATCACCACTTGTAATTGGGTATTATTTTTATCAATAAAAACACCCTAACATACCTCATCTCTTTCCTGAGACAATAATACAAGCCATTTGAATCCCTCATCTTAAAATCAAGTGACTAAGACCAAGACGTAAAGTGACCGATATGATAGGAAACCGGTCGAAAGAGAATGGGAATAATTTCCGTATTGACCCCATATCCGAAAACAACACATTAGTCCCCAAGGTAATCTTTTGTTTTCGCCATTGTTTTATTTATCCACAAGCTGTTTACATAGTGAAGTAGAGAACTGTGTGAAAATCTTGCCAAATACTATTCTTTTTCATCTGTAACAAGCTTCATGGCCAGACATTTTTCTCGAACTTTAAGCTCAGCTTGCGCCTTTTGCGTGACCAAAAAACATTGCATTACGTCATGTAACCATAGTGAAGTATCCTGTTACGCTGACCACCTTATACCGCATACGCGCGTGCCCTTGTTGCTACACAAAATGGCGTATGCAGAAACATACATACATACATACAAACAATAACATACATCCTTTATTTGGTAAAGCAGGTTGAGTAGATGGTAGCATTTTCTGATGTGGACCTGTCGAGTACTAAACAAAACACTATGTCAAAACCAGATCCATCGGCCGATGCGCTCCATAAACCACTCAGCAGTCTAAGTCTAGAGGTGAAAGACTCTTCTGGTGAAGGTAAATCTACAATTCAGAGAGATGAGAGCCCAGTTTCCGGGAATCGTTACTCAAGATATGCTGCAAAGTCTCCTTTAACTAAGAAAAAAACTACGGGTATGCCGAAATCGTCTCAACTAAATCCAAGAGGGGGACAATTATCGCAGCGGCAAGTCACTGGTCAGCAGCCTAAACAACAAAAAGCAGTGGTTCCGAAATCGAAGGGTATGCTAGCACCCAAGGGTTATAACATGCGTCCAATTATCCCTGCTTCAAAAGCAGAGTTGCTGCCAGTGGCTCGAGCTATGCACGGCGACGATTTTGCCCCAAGAGTCAAGAAGCTGTTTGATCCCGAACGGCAGGCGGCTGTTGATGCAATTCAGAGTGGGGTTTACATTGGATGGAGGTGTCACGGTTTTCAGCACGATTGTATTCGCGTCTCCAAAAGCTCGAAGTGTTTTTGTGGCCATCTCCTGAGTGACCACGCAAGTTACACCGGGAAGAGTGTCATGGTTCCTTGTCGTGCGACGCGCTGCGAGTGCAAAGCTTTTGCCTTTATCCGGTCCCGCCCTGAAGAGGCAGGTGAATTTTGGCTTCAACGTCGCCCAGGTTACGACCCAAGTACTTGGCGAGCGAAATGTAAGTGTAAACATACCCACGAAGAACATCAACCCACCGGACTGCGAAGATGCCGAGTCAAGGGCTGTGGATGTTCTAAATTTTTCTCCAATTTTCTTTGTTGTGCGTGCGATAGGCATTGGGAAGAGCATGAGACCTCGTTTGAAACGACCTCCATGAGAAAAGAAACGGGTTTGCCTTACGGTGAGGCGTACCTTCCCTTTCATGAATTTCCAGAATTGCGTGACGTGGTGTTGACCGGAAGAGAGGACGACGATAGTCACTTTCAAGCCCTGACTTCCGGTCCAAACGCAATACCAGAGAGTACACCAACAGATTTGGCATTGAGACTTAGAGGCATGAAGCCACACGAGTCGCCGTTTAAATGGTAACTTAATAGAATGTACAAGAGGGTTGATCTCACAGAACACGAACGCCACATCAGCATTCAAACGTAACTCCTACGATAGCATCTTCGAACCCCATGAGTGACTAGCATTTAACGCCTCCTGATAATTTCACCGCTGATTCAAACTTAACGTCACGAGAATAAAATAAGTGACCACAAACTAAAGAGGCTCTTGATTGTTAAACAAAATAGGGAAAGAGTAGAAATGGTACAACGTAGGGCAGCACGTTATGTCCTTAACAATTATGATAGGTCTGCTAGTGTCACCGAAATGTTGAAACAACTTGACTGGGATACTTTAGAACTACGTAGGAAGAAAGCGAGGCTCACAATGCAGTATAAGATGTACCATAACTTAGTTGCGATTGACCAACAGAAATATCTCAAACCAGCCGGCCGATCCAGCATACATACGCACAGGCTCTCATATATCTGCATCTACATCTCAAAGTCTATCAAAGGAAGGCCCATCACCATCAGACGTATAAAGTCCCGACATTTGTAACAAACTATCACCGAACTCTTTTTTCCCCACTACCATTAGGGGCTGGAACAGCTTACCCCTGGGCGTTGCTGAGGCTCAATCTATAAACTCTTTCCGAGCCCAACTGGACATGATATGTTAATTGCTATTTAAATTTTTAATATCTTTATTAATTGCTATTTAATTTTTTCCTCGATTCTTATTCTTGGTGTTATTATAGTAGTATTATTATATAGTATTTCTCCTTGGTATTTATCCTTAGTGTTATAAGGCCGCTGACCTCTTGCTGAGAATCATCGCATAGATTGAGAGCAAGTATTAGGAAAATAAATAAAATAAGATTCTCTTTATAAGCACCACAGGAAATGTATAGAAGACAGTATGGAGAATATACATACTGATCTCCCTGGCCGGTTAAATTAGAGTTTTTCTCGCTATTTATATCTGACCCTGTAACAAGGTAAGGTTCGGATAAGGGGGGATCGAGACAATACAGGATGTACCCGTGTTAACCCAAACTCCTTCATACCGTCGGCAGGGTCCGATGTCTTAACAAGTGCAACTTAAGGGCGTGCCTTAAGGAGTAGTGTACGTTGCCTCTCTGGTTTAAAATCTCAAAAACAGTCGTAGTCTCACTAAATATTAAAAAGACACGTTCATTTAGGATGCCCTCTTAAAAATTCCTCATACATTGTACCTACTAGCAGTCTTCTTTGATAGGACAACGCTGCAAGAGACTAACAGACAACTGTTTAAATTAACTCTTTTTAATTCTCTGATTCACTTTACGAAATCTTTCTTTTCTCTATTATTTACAAAACACAAAATACATTATTTCCCTATTTTTATGTAACTATTTTTCACAAACCTGTCAGTTTTTCAAGTTCTCTCACATAATAAGTGTCTCCAACTGTCTCAGCTAAATCAATTTGAAAAAATGTTAATTTTCTTAAATAGTAGCAATTCAATTGATGAACACTGTGAAAATAGGACACTTCTGTGAAAAAATGGACACTCTTCAACAATACCCTGGTTATGAAAATGTCACACATCTTATGATACATGTTCCTCGTGAAACTGTTCGAAGTTCACCCTAGACTGCACGTTTGTTAAGGCTATGCAAATCTTGGTATAAATACAGAAAATTTTTAACACTTACTCTCGCTCAAGACTAGTTGGTTTTACCTTTGTGAACAATTAGACCCCTTTATTATCAAACCACGTGTCTTAATAAATTCCGTGACCACGGGTCGACCATTAGAGAAGAGTTTCGAACATAAGAAAAGTCCTCTGATTCCGAAGATATAAATAACGAGGCTACGAAATTTTCAAATTACAAAAGAAATAAGTGATTCTTAAGAAAAATTTACGCTACTTTTGTGAATTGTACATTCGCAATTAACTTACTAATAGGAGAAACCATTGCTTTCCGTATGCCTCTTCTTGTGGTTTTAACAGGAAAAATATAATTTAAGATCAATTAGTTCTTTCCGGGGTCTTTATTTAGATGGTCTTGGTTCCTTTTTTATCTGACTGATTCGACCTTTCCTGTCATGACTGGAACTACGAAGGGCTCGCAAAATTAGAATTTCCTTGGCTCTACAGTTCTAAGTACTAAACAGCCTTAACTTTCTCCTTCAAACTGTTCAAAGGTAAATTCCTCATTTGTTGTAGTTGCCGTTTGTTCTTCGCCGTCTGCAACAACGGTCGTCGTTTGGCTTGTGACGATCTGTGTGACTACACCCTCCGATGAGACTTCGGCCGACGGGGAAGCTTGTTCGTAGGCTGAAACAGGTGTTAATTCAATCAATTTCCCTTCGGAACTTCCTTCTATAGGTCTTTCCTCTGAAACAACTTCGACAATTTCAGGGGGCTTTTCTTTTTCCGTATCTTCAAGCTCGACTATCTTTTCCTCCTTGGACACGGATTCATCCAGTTTTATCTGTTTCTGTTTTTCTTTTGCCTCGTCTACTTTCTTCTTTGGCGGAGATTTTGTGGACGGTTTCGCACCTGCTGTACTGGTTTTCACACCCGGTTTTGATTTCAAGTTGGCCGTCGTGGGCTTGGCAGCAGTTTTAGTTGTCAAGGAAGGTTTTGTAGGTCTTGTGGTTGTAGTGGACGATTTGACTGGGCCGTTCTTAACTCCTGTCACAGTTTTTGTGGTACTAGTCTTCAGAGGAGCAGTGCCAGTCTTAGTAGTGGTTGTTGTCTTTTTTACAGTAGTTGTAGTCGTAGTGGTCGACTTTGGTTTTGCACTCTGTGGTCGTAAGTTAGGTGTCTTGGTTGCACCGTCTGTTTTGTCGCTAGGTTTTGCACTCTGAGGTCGGCTTGGCTTTGTTGCTGTGGGTTTCGTTGCAGGCGAACTCGTTTTAACCTGTGTTAGTTTGGTGGATGCTGGCCTACCAGCAGTAGTTTTTGGTGCACTTTTCGGTGTCCCAGAGTCAGTGGAATCTACCCCAGGGGCCTTACGGGCGGGTGGTTTCGTGGTGGAAGCTGGAACTTTGTGAGGCGATGCACTTGCAGGACGAGTGGTACCAGTAACACTGGACTTTGTCGGAGGACGAGCTGTCGATGCACTTTTCGGTCTCTCTGGTTTCTTTATTTCATCTGTCTTAGTTGCTGCCGCTTTACCAATGGGTTTCTTTGTGCTTGGGGTGGTGGTGGTTGTCGACTTCGTCGCCGGCGCCTTAGTAGCAGCAGAAGGCTTGGATGCTGGTGCTTTAGTAACTGGAGCTTTGACATCTTTTCTAGATGTTCCACTTGAAGGCTTTGTGGCTCCGGGTTGTTTTTTCGCTGCAGCTAACCCTGTTGATGGGGCTGCTTTAGAAGGAGACTTGGCCGATTTTGCGCCAACTGATTGGGACTTAGTTTTCGTAATCTTGTCTGTCTTCTTGTCTGTTGGGAAAGCATGGGTCTCTGCAGGCTTGGCTGTTTTCTCAACAGGTTTAACCTCCTTCTCTGAGGGTTTTGTTTCTTCCAATGGAGTTTGGGTTTCTTCCTCTGAAGGTTTGGTTTCTTCCAATGGAGGTTTGGTTTCTTCCTCTGAAGGTTTGGTTTCTTCCGATGGAGGTTTAGTTTCTTCCTCTGAAGGTTTGGTTTCTTCCAATGGAGGTTGGGTTTCTTCCTCTGAAGGTTTGGTTTTTTCCAATGGAGGCTGGGTTTCTTCCTCTGAAGGTTTGGTTTCTTCCTCTGAAGGTTTGGTTTCTGGCTCACGAGGCCTGGTCTCCACCGTCGCAGGCTTTACCTCTTTGTCCAAAGAGTTGACTTCTTCCTCTGTAGATTTGGCTTCTTCCTTTACAGGTGTTACTTCTTCGTTAGTGAGCTTAAGAGCATAGATTTCTACAGGCTTGGCTTCTTTTTCAACAGGTTTGACTTCTTCCTCTAAGGACCGCACGTCTTCCGCTGCAGCCTTACCTTCTACCTCTGTATTCTTTATTTCTACCTCCGCAAGCCTAGCCTCTACCTCTAAAGGCTTTACTTCCTCTAAAGACTTCATTTCCTCCTCTGTGGACTTGGCTTCTTCCCCTACGGGCGGTACTCCTTCGTCGGTAAGCATAAAAGCATAGACCTCTGCAGGCTTGGCTTCTTTCTGAACCGGTTTGACTTCTTCCTCTGAAGTTTGGCCTTCTTCCTCTGCAATCTGCATTTGTACCTCTGAGGGCATGGCATCTGTCTCAGGTGGCTTCACTCCTTCCTCTGTAAACTTGGATTCTTCTTCTACAGGCATGACGTCTTCGTTCGCGGGGGTAGATTTTTCCTTTACGGACTGAACGTCTTCCAAAGCAACCTTAGCTTCTGCCTCTACAGAATCCATTTCTGCTTCTACAGACTTGGCTTCTTCCATTACAGGCGTGGCTTGTAGTTCTGCAGGTTTAGCTGCTTCTTCTAAAATCCTTACTTTGTTCTCGGAAGTTGAGGTTTCCTCCATACTTTCATCCCCCTTAATATAACAAACCTCGGCTACTTCCTGACTCTGCTCCTCAGAAGTGACCTCGTCTGACACAGGCGTAGTACTCTCTCCTTCCGATTTGACCGGAGATTCCTCGCTAGGGACTGGCTCTTCCAATTTAGTGGCTTCTTCCTGGTGGGGAGATTCCATAAAGGGATCTATTCCAATAGCAGGAATGTCTTGGACGTCCTTTCCATCGAACTGTTCATCAGATGTGACTTTTTCAAAAGGATTCGTAGCCTCTGCTTCTGAAATCTGGTGATCCGTTGGTGAGCGCTCCATGAAATCTTCTTTCTCTGCTTCCACTGATTTCGTGTCAGCTAATGGATCTCTTAGCTCAAATGAAGGTGAAGACTCTTCTGTAGGTTCTTGCAGCTCCGGCGTGACTTGATCTACAGGTTGGGAGTCCGCTAACAAATCACCCAGGTCAATCCGTGGTGTTAATTCCAACGCATTATCATCCGCTTCCGTTACGATTAACTCATCGTGCATTTCTGCTGTTTCATGTACAATCCCAGGAATACTTTCTAATTCAAGGTGGCCATTGCCAACCACAGCGCCTTCTTCAACATCGTCTGCATCATTTGGCTTCTCTTCAGTAACTTCCGAAGGTTCATTTTCCGTCGAAATTAGTTGGTCCTGGTCACCTGTCGGTGTGAAAGGATCAAACGACGAAACATCAACTGCAGTCTCCCCCTGATCACCAGGGTGAAATTTTTCGCTCCCGTTTAGTGGACCACCTAGCAAATTGTCAGTCCAATGAGAATCCTTTGCGTGATCCGTGGAAGGTAAATCTCCACGAGATTCAGAGCCGTCGGTCTCGTCCACGGAAATTAGTTCGTTGCTCTGCCGAGTTTCATTCCCGAATAAGTCCTCGCTGGGCGCGGTTGTTTTGCCCGAAAAAGATTCACCACCGGACTCCGTTTGTTTTAGAACGGCATCATTATTATTACCACTTGCAATTTGCTGTTGATCTTCGTTCATCCTATCGAAAGAAAGAGTGGTTGCTATGTCCGCCATTGTTGAAGTGTCGCTCAAACGCCTCAATATCTTCGTGCCTTTCAAAGAAAGATCGGGGGATGAAGTTCGCCTGCTGGATCCAAAGATTACCTTGTCAAAACGACTTTTCAGCTGATGAAAAGTCTTGCTTGTGAAACTAACAGGCCTTGAAGCTAAGTTCTGCGAGACGGATGATTCAATCTTTCGAATGGCGTCTGTGATGTCCTTCTTGTCACTCTCGACAATAGACAACTTTTTCGACTTCTCTCTTAGATTCGGCGTCGATTGAGATGCCAAAGGATGGCTCAAGCTTCCTTGCGAGGAATACACTGGCGAGTCTGTAGACGGAAAAAATTAAATATTAATAAGCACAGACAAAAAGGCTTTTTATCTCAAATATGTACATTTTTCAAACATGGCATAAGACAATGCTGGAATAAGCTTGCGGCTCGTTTGAGGGGTGTAGTATGACAGTCACCTACCTCTATTGATAACTCCAATTTGTTCTCTTCTCTTAACTTTATCGAACAAACTATTCCTGCCTCCGGTTCATGTCGATATGGAATTTCGTGGACTGGTAGGAGCTTGTGAACTCGGTGTGGCACTAGAGCTCTCAAGAGCTGTAAAACACAAACGGCAGTTTTAAAATGTATATTCGCAATAATCAGTTACAAATGAGCTAAGGAGGGATGCTATTCACAGCTGTCTTTCAAACAAACGAAACCGCCGACAAATTTCCAATCTCTCCCAGATTGAGTCAAAAAAAGCCACATGGCGTATCCCTTTTGGCATGCGTTTCTATTCATTATCACAAAAGAGAAATCGCGACTATAAACAAAATATCACACAGTGAGAATTAAGCTACAGTTGCCTAAAACACGCAATCATATTTAAATTAACGGTGGTTTGCCTTAAAAGCCTCCGGCTCCTGTTATGAATCACGCAAAGGTACTTATGTGGGAGTTATCAGAATGGTGTAAAACAGATATCTTACTAACATTGCCAAAAGACAAAACACGGCAAAATGTACAAAGTGAAGGTGAGGAAAGGTTCATTTATCAAAATGCATGAAAACCATACGGTTTTTCATTAAAATTCTGTGAAAAAAATATATTAGCACGATTACCACAGACAAAGTAGAGTCACCCGTAATATCTAAGTGACATACTACTTTTTTTTACCAAAGCTACCGACCAAAATCCAGCCAAGGCCATAAGTGCAAAACCTTGAACCTTGTTTGATTCATATAACGGAGACGGTTCCGTTATACAGTTGACCTACATTTTGTTCACCAAAATTAACCTTAACTTAAAAATTTAAATTCAAGACGCCTTCAATATTCATTAATTACCACCTTCATTAATTCTAATCGCGGTTTTGAATTTCTAAATAGTTCTTCTACAAACGCATTCAAATGTATTTCTAAGCTGTCAGTCACCCAAACACTGCGACGAAGAACAACAGACAATGAGGCGTTGAATTCTGCTCAGTACAATTAATAATAAATAATTAGGCAGACAGTTTTTAACAAATACACACAAATTAAATACAAATCAGCTCTGTGCAGGACGCAATACAATCCAGTAATCTTCCACAAACAAGAGAAACAAAACAAATTTGTAGATGAAATTAAGAATGTCAAATTGAGACAATTTACAAAAGTGACAACCTCTTACCCGACTCACTTACACAAGAAACGAAAAAGAACTAGAAGTGATAATTTTAACACACATGAAATTAGCAAAAATGCAAATTGTTCACGATCTGAAGATATCCCGAGATTTTACAGTTGGTAAAAACTCAAACATAATCCAGGTCTTGCTGAACTCACCACCTCAAAAATTACTTAAATGCTAACCATGACAGAGAAATTTTAATAGCTTTTACCCCTTCCCCTTTAGACAATTTTAAAACAAAATGATTTTAAGGGCTAGTATACAAATAATTTCAAGAAACTGAAGAGAATGTTAAGTTAAATGAATGTAACTTTTACACAATTTTTCCAAGGCATCTATCTCAATAAACCAACCAACCAACCAACCAGTCAAAAGGTGAAGTCAGCTTATGGCCAAAAGGCCTACACTGCAACAGTTTACCCTGGTCTGTATTACATGAAATGACTTGGATTATTACCAGTCCACTCTATACAGTTCAAATCAATAGCAGGGTTACCCAACCCGCGACCCCTACTCCCAAACCCCATTTCATCAAGGTTCCCCGATAGTTTGTTGGTAGAGTCAAACCTTGATTACCTGTATTTTTTGATTATCTGGACTTGCCTCTCTCGTCCCATTACCTACAAACATTTGTATTTTTCTTTTCAACTATCCAAACTCTTGATTATCAAGACTTTTAAGGCCAGTCTCCGAGGTTCTACTGTACCTATTTCAAACTCCTGTGTGAAGAAAGGCAATGCGACAGTTAAGTGCCGCACCTAATGATGGTAATCACCTCAGAATGACTCAGCCAGGTGTTTAGACCAATGTTTTAGCACACTAACTACGGAGTTATTCCATCTCCCATGGACACCAGAGAGTTGTCAAGTGTAGGGCGCTCATAACCAAAATAAGACTAAGTTATAAATAGGTGGCCCAATGATAAAGGGAGCTTATCAGCAATGGGAGCTCTCAAACTAAAAAGTCATCTTGAGGATTCACTCTGCCTGATTTCTTCATAGTTGTCCAATATCATTACATACTTGAACAATTTAAACTGTAGCAAAAAAAAAAACAAGGGTGACTTTTGTGTGGCACTTGAAAGGAAATCATTGTGAGTAATATTATATTCTGTATCTATTTTTTTAAGCAAAACAATATAAAACAGTATTGTTTTTCTTTTCATTTAACCCTTTTTCAGTGCATAATTCAGTCCTGCTACCCATCAAGGGATATGTTAATTAATAGTATAGTATTCAGTGGCTGGTAAGGAAAAGAGAAAGAAATAAAAAAAATCATCTAAGGAGTCTAGAACAACCAAAACTCTGGCAGTTTGGGTCTTTTGGCCCATAAACTGCATTCACCTCTAGAATAGTTAGTTGATTTATGGAGATAGTTACTCAAAAAATTGTGCTAACACCACATACATTTTAAATTTCACATTCTTTTCACTTTCTGGAAATATTTTCAATATCAATCCTAAAATAACCCAAATCAGAGAATATACCAATTTTAGGAATATCATTCAATCTACCCACAGAGAATTTAATTACTGGCAGTGCAAAGAATATCACTGGAATAAATCTTAAATGGCCTAAGGCAAATCAGTTTCCTTTTCTCTACAGTGACCAAGGACGTATCCACAAGACCTCTTTTGAAATATTATCTGTAAAAAGGGTGTGGCCATTTACACAGTTTCGAAAGCAGTAAATACTGCCTGTTATTGACCAACCCCACAGTCTGGAGATAATTTTAATTGGTAACTTGAGTCCAAACGATCAATAAGTTCGATATTTTGTTTGAAAACCATAAACGCATGAGCTTTAAGTAAATTATTTAAATCTGTACTTTTTGCAGCGCACTGATGTCAAATCGCTGTGACAAGAAGGTAATTTGTGTACTTTCTAACAAATTGATTGTACCACTGTTATCAGCAAAATGCTATCGGATATGGAAAAATGCTGTCACGCAAATTGATCTCATTCCGAACTTGGTCCAATTCATGCGTATGGCAGTTCAGAGATCTAATTACTTTCGTTTACTTCGCTAAAAGTAATACTGTACAAATTGGATTGTTTCTCATTTAAGAGGGCATTGTAAGTAAGCATTCCAACCAAGTGACAATATACTTCGAACTTCATATTGATGACGACGCAATTTTTTTCCGCTCAAAGGTTCCTTGTCTCTTGAGCATTCTTGAAAAAGCGAAATGTATTTAGGAATGAACATGCCAAGAAATTGTTTTGAACCCAGCCAGTAGCTTGGTTAGGGCTGCTAGCGACATTCCAAAACCCACATGGCCAGCAGAAAAAAAAGAAATCATTCTTAATAACAGACATCAGCATTCACAACGGTGATCAAGTGTTCGAAACTCAAAGGTCTGGGAGATGATTAGTACGGACCAAAGATTGAGCGAGAATTCGAGCGGTCATTTTATAAGTTTCATGCCTTGCATTTTCAGGTTTAAGCATGGCAGTCTGGTCTGTCAGCGAGAACTGTCGAATTCCCATAAATTCGCGAATTTAGACGCAACAGATTTCAAAACACGCAACTAACCAGTTTTCTCTTTTGAACATGCACAAGTAGCTTATTCCAAAGAACTTAAAAGATGACTCGATAGGAGCCTCGATCAAACAGCCGATATATTCTGATCGCGGATAATTAATGCACGCGTATGGCGTTGGTATTGTACCGTTCTGAGATGCTGATTTAAAGTACTCGGTAACAAAGTACAGCAAAACTTCAAGTTTGTGCATCATTTTTCTTAATTTTAAAATCGACCCTCTTCTGGTGTCTGTGCGTCCCACCGCCATAATAAATCTTGACGATTTGACTAGATTCTTCTTTCACAAACACGACACTTATCATTATGGTACAGACAAAACCAAGATCACAAAACATCTGATGAGACGAGACAGAATGCATGAACAAAAACATCAAGATCTTGACGACAGCAAATTTACCTTCAAATAAGATATATCCAGTAAACGCTTGCTAGGAAGGACGCGACAAAAAAAAATTGAAGGGGAGAGTCGTCTGCCTGCTAACCTGACGCTTGCCGTGACACTCTTGCCAATGAATAACAAATTTACGATCGATCGGGAGTAGTCGAGGCGATTTTTGGGCGAGTCAGACATAAAAAAAAATTGACAACTCGAGGGTGTGTGCGGGATATCAGCCAATCAGAACACGAGAATGACAAAAGCTGTCAGGGTATAATGTTTATTTCAAGCGAACCAATTCACTGAGTCAGCTGGTATGCAAATCACAATATTTGCATCGGAAGGTCTCTCGCTTTATGCAGCAAGAGTGACAGGATCTGGATATCTCTCGTGTAGCTACTTCGCTTGATAATGTCGCACGAAGTCTTTTGATATTTTCGACAAAAAAAAAAAAGTACATCTAAGAGAAAGAATCAAGGAGGAACTCGATGATGCTGAACTCTCGGAAAGCCCAACAGGTTGGTTACCTACCTTAACTCGCCCTATAATTTTGTCTAGAAAAGTGTCAAAGTATTCGGTCTGCTATGAAATTCCGTTTTTTTCCCTTAAATTCGTATTTAAACTTCACAATCGACCCTAGCAACTAACCCAATATTTGAAGTCAACTTCAATATTAAGGTAACAATGGAAGTCAGCCATGCAAGACCTTTTTACCCGTACTGTACAATCTAGTGTCATTAGAATAATTTTGAACTTGAAGGGAATGGCAGTGAAAGCGACATTTCAGGAAAAATTCGGAGAGTGATTAGAAAATAGCTACAATTAGGACGATCGATATTCTTCATTCATTTCTGTTGAATTATATTAACTGACACAGAATCTTCTAGAAACTCGCAATAGTGACCTAGAACTAAAAATATAACCTTACACTAATTTATTTAAGCATTAAACTTTGGCTTATATTTATGTCTCGGTGCTGTTAATGATGTGCCAAGGCTTTTAGTAGGAACCATCCCATTACCACAGCATATTACCATGTCTCTTTTTTTTCAATCCATAACCGAGTTGATTTTTTTGGTTTAAATAATATAAGGAATTCGATAAATTTTGATTTATTTTGTTCATGATTTCAATGTTTATTCGGTGTTTGTTCCATAATTAGCGGGTCGAGAGTCACTTAGACTTGAGACTTTCTTTACCTGAGTATAACGTCATCATTTCAAATTTTTGATAAAAATTTCATGATATTTTTTATTCAATGTTAGACCTTCACTACCCATAAGCTATATGACAACCATGTGATCATATTCGTTCATTAAATCAAGATGTAATCTGCCATGTTGAAATTCAAAATGTTCCCTTAACGCTGTGATCAGCTCTTGTACAAATCAATATTTTTCGAATGTAAAATCAGTCAACAGATTTTAAACCTCAAGAATGCTCTCTTCATTTAAGAAAGCTTTACAGTCACATTGCCTATTTGGGCATATGCTCATGTTTTTCAGGAACTCTATCAAATTAAGGGCAGTAGAGCAGCAATCACAAAATAAGGGGCATCAAATAAAGAAAATGTTATTTTCTCCTTTCCAATCTTCTCTTGGCTTTGCCATTCAACATGATAACAAAACAGTGCATCAGTTATGTAGGCTTCATGGTGTGAAAGATCACTCAATATATTTCAAAATTATTCAGTTTTCAATCAGTTACAATTCAAGTCAGCTGTAAATTTATTTTCAACCATCCCCACCTTTTTAACTGGGAAACTCAGTTTCATGTATTTTGTAAAATAGCCATCAACATATAAATTACTAAAGCTTGAAAAATTGTTAAGAAAACTGATTCAAATATTGAAATGTGTTGGCTTTGAAATCAGGAAAAGGCAAGTAAACAAAAATAATATAGCTATTTGGTTAGTTGTTATTATCATTTTCTCAATCTGCTTCCTTACCTTGTTTGGAGGGTTTGGAGGGTACATGAGTCATCAGGTAATGTTCAAGAGTATCCCATCCTCCACCAATGCGTACCAACATGTGATCATTCAACATCTACAGTTACATTGATGATGAAAAGGTTTTTTTTTTTAAGGAAATATGAGAAATGAGGAATAACCTCAACACCAAGACTGACTGACTTGGTGGGTTGAGGGGTATAAATAAATAAATAAATAAATAAATAAATAAATAAATAAAAAAGCATGAAAGGAGAAAACAACACTTTTCCATCTCATGCCTCCTCCCACATCTGTTCTCTCCTCCCTCACCCCCACCAACCCCCACCCCACCCCTCCTCACTACACAGGCCCTAACTCATCATACAAGCAGTAATTATTACTTTCAAAGAAAGGACAACCCTACTCTCTCCATCAGTGCCTTTAACATGAGAAGAAAGTACATTTTTCTCAAGAGATATTTATTACACAAAGAAAATTCATAATTATGAGCCAAGAATCAGCTCTCCCAATATTCAACTGATCTCAATTCCCCCTCTTAATGGAAATTAACCCATATGCAAGGCCAGACCAAAAATTAGTATGAAGATTTTCAGTCATAACAATGCTGATTTTCGGCTTTTTTAATCAATAACTTGAAAAACCTAATTTACACCTCCTACCTCTTGGACATATACCCCTCTAGATCCATTTATTTTGTTAATCACACAGTGACTAAGGAAGCTCCACACTACCCTTTCACACTCTAACATCAGATCAGTATGCATATTCTCCATACTGTTCTCTATACATTTCTTAAAAGGCTGACAAGGAGCATTTGTTTAAAAATCAAGAGTTTCTTTAGCTAGTGACCATTTCCTTTAACATTCCTGTGACTTCAGTGTGTGATTTTTGAGGTGATATTGTAAGGAGAAATTAGATGCTAGTTTAAGGGTCAAAACTCCTAGTTGCTCATTGTTAAACTAAGCTGCACTTACTCGAACAAACATGATTCTGCCAAGAATGATGTATTTTCCTTCTTTCAGTCGGTGAACAACTTTTATGTTGTAATCTTGAGCAAGCTTGCACACCTATGTTATTGTGTAGAAAATAGAGCATCCATAAATTAAGAAATATATGTTACACATAAATATTATGAGAAATTTTGAGAAGTCCAACTTTTTCGTGATTCAGAAATCAATTCTCCCTCATTACCCCAGTAGCAGAAATGTACATGCAACGGTATATAGTATAACGTAGACAAAAGAATATTTGAGTTTGATATCATTTCACCCATGCAAGGAGTCTTCTATGCACTGATTTCTCAAAGAAAAAATACATAGATTTATGGGTCTACAGGTACACCTGCCTGTTTCACATTTCTATTTGTAGTATATCAAAGTTAAGCTGTGGATTAACTTTTGATCCCCACTCCTGAAACGCTAGAAAATACCGGTGATTAGTCTGTCCATGAAACAAGAATCATTATATTCAGCTCATTAAATTTCATAATCAATTAATTCTTTTACGGATCAAAAGCTTTTCTTCGGGTGGGAGAAACAATATTTACTAGACGAACAAAACTGACCGAAAATTCAATGGTTTCGGCTATTCTTATGCAAATAGTTATTGTTTTCTGAAAGAAAGAAAGAAAACTATCATCTAATTGAAGTCCTTGAGAAATTTTACTCGGAGCGTGCCCCTAAAAATTTCTGTAAGATCATTTCAACTTAAACCTTCCCCAACAGTACAAAAAAACTGATTTCGGAAGCTTGCGTGATCTTTTCTCGCAGCTGAAATACAAATGATCGTCGTTTCGGAAGATTTTAATTTCAGAATGCATCGAACTGGTTTTCACGGGTGCTTCAAGTCTCGTTGTCGACAAAAGACCTAAGCACTTGATATAGACGGTCTTATCAGTCGTTTACCGTTCAGTAAAATAGCCTTCCGCCGGCTCGCTAGTGGAGACAGATGTCCCTGCTTGGCCAAATTATAATCAATGTGACAATTAATTTATTGTATAAGCTAGCCATTTTGGTATCACTTTAAAAAGCTATTATTTCATCCAACATCAAAGTGTTTTGATTTCAAGCCTATCAAGGCTGTAATCTAGATCATTGAGAAAGGCAGATTTACACTCTGAAACTGACAACTGTACTTTTCAGACGAAACGTGCGTTGAAATGTGATATATCAATCCGTTATCTTCAATCCATCAACATAAACAGGGTATATTTGCATAATTCGTGGATTGATGACTATTCATATCGAAAACGATATTGATAAAATTACTCAATTTTGTTTCAACTTTTTGCTTCAAAAAAAAATATTTCGTCGCAATATTATGACCACGTTAATTGGTATATAGCGGCGAAATTTCACCCCCTACCAAGTAAACGTCTGAATGAATATTTGCAAACACTTTCTTGAAGTTGTCATGATAATTAAAACTCTCAGGTCAATTCTTCCTTAGAATAGTTAATGAGGAGTCCTTCAAAATTTTGTTAACAGGAAAATTAACTCGAAATAGGCGCAGATGCTTACCTGTTTATCTAATTCAGATTTGGGTCCTTTGCTATCAAGAAGAGAAGGAAGTTCATCAGTTTTTTTCTGACTTTTTGAGCAACTTTTTCGATCTTCTGGTTTCGAAGGAGTTTGTTTTCTTGTCACGGCTGTGGTTTTCGTTCTTTCCTCTGACTCCTCCACAGAAAACTCCGTCAAACGGGACGCTGTATTGTCTCCTTCTTCTTGATCAAATACGGAGTCAACCCCAGAATCCGAGTCTAAAGAACTAGGGCTTTGGATTTCGGGCTGATCTGTCTGTTGTACTTCGAGGTTTTCAAATTCACTCCTATTTATTTGCTCCACATCTAAAATTTGCCCGTGCTCGTCCGAAAGATCCGTATCATGCTTTGCCTCATCCTCTTCGATTTCTTTCTCCATTTGAATTAACTGGGGTAGTTCGTCCAGTTCAAACTTTGCTGTCCTTCTAACAATTTCCATTAAACAAATTATAACACCTCTGCAACCCTCTCGATAATCGTCTACTTGTACAACATCATTCGATTCGAACAGGATCGCTTCGGGGATACCATGACTTCGGCACCACGTTAGAAACTGTTGCACATTGTCCCTGGATTTAAAGAGTTTGATTTCTTTGTTGCATTTACCCATTGTGTGATAGCGAAATTTTTTCCCCGGCACTGCGATTTTTCGTTCACGAGAGTAGGCCTCCGCTTTCTCTTGAATGTAGTTCGCAAGTCGACAGAGCAACGAACCATCTTCCAAAGCGTAGAAAAAAAAGTCGGGACTTATAACAACATCGGGAAACAACTTGGCCAGCCATTCGCTCTCGTCTTCCATCATCGCATAAAGAAGTTCGTTCTCTTTCTCCCATCGTTTATAACTTTGTATGCTATTGGTTTTGAGCCTTCGAAAGTTAGCTCTGTTTCGGGGAGTTACAGTCACAGCATGTTCTTCATGCGCCACACTGATCATCGTTCAGTCGTCTGGGTTTCCGGTAACCCTCTTGAAAACTTGATCAAAAAACCATAATAGGGTGAGTTTCAGATCTCATCCTTCGACTTAACTACCAACCAGTTGCTCAAGCCCGCACTCGCAATCAGGCCGCGGTGTTCAATTCGACGCTTGTCTGAATATAGACTAGCTGCGTTCGGTGTACCCACGGCAAGACTGTTTAATAATTTCGCACAGGCGGGAATATTAAATAATCTTAATGACAAGAGTGGTTAAGCGATGTTTTCTTTTCTTCTCGATTTCATGCGCCGTCTACCATGTTAATTCCCTCGAGAAAATTGCCTACGGTAAATATCAACAGAAAAAATTCCAGCTAAGAAGCACTCGAACCACACAACCAATCTATTTATAGTCATGCGATAGTTTGGCGTAACGATCCTGTATTGGCCCAAAACAATTTATTCAGTTGTTTCGCGGCGATAAAAGGTTTGGAATAATATCCTAATTTGAATAGCATTAGAACTGTTCGTTGCGAATAATAGTCGACAACAAAAAGATCAATTGAGTTCATTGTTATCGTCGATAACAAAAGTAGCACTAGGACGAAATTAGAACTTATCTGCTACTAACGCTGAAGCTTGCACAGGAAACTGTTACTCGCCTCTGCTCTGCGGTATCGCAGCCGTTTGTAAACTGTCAACTTACTTAGTCTAAACAAGACTTATTAAACATGCATAGTTAGCTGTTCATTTCGTTACCCAAGAGATGACTCTCTTTGAAGGTCTTGGAGGACCAGCCCTTAGCACGACAGTTAGAAGAAGAACAAGGTCATTGCGTTCTTTCAACCGGAAACCATGGGTATTCCGAGGCGAACCGGAAATGATGTCAACGGAAATGAGGGCACGATTTCAGAAACAAAACCTCTCGATAGGCAGTTTGTGATCATATCCTATGCAGATCCTAGATGACATGATTGTGTAATTTTCATTACAGTGTAACAACAAGTTTCCTTTGGTGCTACACCTTATCAGTGTTTCTCGAATTTTTTAATTCTGTTTATTTTTTTCCATTTCAGACAGGGAATTTCCGTGTGAAGCAATCTTATACAGGGTCCTTATAGCACTGCCTGTCTCTTGTGTTTTTGCATAACAATATTGACGAGGAAGCCTGAATACGGATTGAAGTCTTGCCAAAAAGACAATTTTGGCGCCAGGGAATTATTTATGTTAACGATTACGTCATTTTTTCTAATTTAAGATCAGTACAGTATTGTGATCAACCGAAACAATAATTTGTAAGGCACCAGAGTTTACAGTCACAAATGATTGAAAGGGAAAATCTCCATGGATCGAAACCATCACATGTTACGGACTTCAGTTTCAGAATTATGGGATTTTTTCTTTTTTCATTTTTCCTCTCAAATTCGTGTAATTAAAGAAGTGACGGTATGAGAGGAGACAAACTCTTTAAGAAAAACTATGAAATATTTTAGTGTCGCGGTCAGACGCAAAGATCCTCCTCAATGAAGGAAGTGTGAGGACGTCACAAAGCATGACGTCAGAGGACGAAGAGGTTCCGTGCGATTCCTTGTCGAGCCAATATACTGACTGCATTTTCCGTTTTTTGTTGACAATTTTTCATTCTTTAGTAAAGACCAATCATGGAGCCACTTAAATGTAAAACGTCAAACACAAAGTTTTCCCTTTTACTATTGAACAACTCCTACACAGTTTTCTTCAGACATACCCAAGGAGTGGTGCGTGATATATCAAATCACAGAGGCTCGTCGCTCAACCAGCCAATATCAGTAATTGCCATTATGGTTTAAATGTCGTTAACACGTCCAGAAATATCAATAAAGCGTGAACAATGACGTTCGATAAAGTCTTAAGCATTTTTATCACTCATATTAGTTCACTGGACATGAAAAACTCTAAATTAGGACCAACTTCTCGGGTTGTGCACTGTGAAAAAAGTTTATCCTAAATAATTGAATTTTGTTACTTACCTTCCTCCTTAATCTTCTTTATGCTAAGCCGTGTTTGTTCTTGTTTAATTTATCAACCTCTCTTTAGTGAATCTGTCCCGAGTAACAAATTACTACTCTCAGTCAAGACCTACAGGACTCCGAGCATGAAATAGGTTTGGTAAATTTAGAAGAAGTTGTTAACTGTGAAACCCTAAGAGCCTGAGAACGGAGAGAGTCGGTCGATTCTGGATGTTTGGGGTAGATAGAATATCAGTTAATTACCAGAATAAACGTCTAAAAGTAAATTACTTAATCTCATAAACTCTAATCAGATACTGAAATAAACCTGGAATTTTCCATTGACCTGTCCACCCGTTAAGGTGTCAGTCAACAAATAACTTTGGAGCCAGCATCCACTTCACCTTCGATCAGGTATTCTTCACGGTATCAGAGAAGCTCGACAGTGAGGCGGCGCAAGAGTCGGTCACTGCCACTATATCGAACCCTCCCTTCAAAAAGTCCGTCTGATCGCAAGCTACCGTCCACTAGAGGGTGTTCAACTGCGGCTAGCTCGATACGGGTTTCATGCTTCACCTTTTGACGTCGTAAAAATAAGAAAAATAAGAGCACCTCGGATGCTTATACTAAAGTAATAATTTATCAATATCCCTCAAATCGTACTTAAATAAAGGGCAAAACGCGCTGTCTCATGGCGGCATTCCTCGCTCTGAGAAGTGTTTGGAGAGAATGAACAGTTGTTCGCTATAACAAGAATATATGCTAGGTCGCTCGCGCTTCACAGCTCAGTTGCTTATTAGCTGCGTTAATTTCCCATAAGTGGCTCTTATTGTTATATTAAAGTTAAAAGGAAGGTTTGTCAACCGGTCTTGTCAAACAAAAAGTACCCCGCTGAGTACACATCTGGCCCCAAATGGGTGTAACTGAGGGGCCGACCATTTAATTTTTGAGGGGGGGTGGGTATTTTGAAAAAAATTTCCTGCAAGCGCTTGTTGGAAGAAAAAAATTACATGCAGCCCAAATGTAACAGAAAAAATATACCAAAAAATCGGAAAAAAATATCCTGCACAGCAGATTGCTAGAAAAAAAATTCTTGATGACCAGAAACCACCCACCCCCCCTCAAAAGTTAAATGGCCGACCCTTAACAATAATGCGGCGAGACAAATACTTTGTTTTCTTCTGATAGGGTGTAGCTTTAAGGGGAACTGAAGCCTAAAATTGGTATATTGTTCACCTTCATTTGTAGTTAGCTTAAGAGGAGTAAGATAAAGTGTCGATATTCCTTTTCGTTCACTTCTTGTTTTTTACGAGACAACTTGATTTGAAGTTGCCTTTTTCTCGCTTTTGGAGCTGTAAGACCGTCGGCTCAAAATAGGTCAGCAGCGGTCGTTTATGACGTCAGTGGTGGG